ATACACACGCTGAAAGATACAGGTGCTGAAAGATACAGACGCTGAAAGATACAGGTGCTGAAAGATACAGACGCTGAAAGATACAGGTGCTGAAAGATACAGACGCTGAAAGATACAGGTGCTGAAAGATACAGGTGCTGAAAGATACAGACGCTGAAAGATACAGGTGCTGAAAGATACAGACGCTGAAAGATACAGGTGCTGAAAGATACAGATGCTGAAAGATACAAGTGCTGAAAGATACAGGTGCTGAAAGATACAGACGCTGAAAGATACAGGTGCTGAAAGATACAGACGCTGAAAGATACATGTGCTGAAAGATACAGGTGCTGAAAGATACAGACGCTGAAAGATTCAGCATCTGTATCTTTCAGTGTCTGTAAGATACAGACGCTGAAAGATACAGACGCTGAAAGATACAGATGCTGAAAGATACAGATGCTGAAAGATACAGACGCTGAAAGATAACAAGTGCTGAAAGATACAGGTGCTGAAAGATACAGACGCTGAAAGATACAGACGCTGAAAGATACAGACGCTGAAAGATACAGACGCTGAAAGATACAGACGCTGAAAGATACAGATGCTGAAAGATACAAGTGCTGAAAGATACAGATGCTGAAAGATACAGATGCTGAAAGATACAGGTGCTGAAAGATACAGACGCTGAAAGATACAGACGCTGAAAGATACAGACGCTGAAAGATACAGACGCTGAAAGATACAGATGCTGAAAGATACAGATGCTGAAAGATACAGATGCTGAAAGATACAGGTGCTGAAAGATACAGACGCTGAAAGATACAGGTGCTGAAAGATACAGATGCTGAAAGATGCAGATGCTGAAAGATACAGACGCTGAAAGATACAGGTGCTGAAAGATACAGACGCTGAAAGATACAGACGCTGAAAGATACAGGTGCTGAAAGATACAGACGCTGAAAGATACAGGTGCTGAAAGATACAGATGCTGAAAGATACAGACGCTGAAAGATACAGACGCTGAAAGATACAGATGCTGAAAGATACAGACGCTGAAAGATACAGACGCTGCAGCAGTTTGCAGCGACAGTCACAGATGCTTTAGTTTGATGAAGATTCAGATTCACAAAACTTTATTGATCCCAAAGGGAAATTCATTTGTAACATAAACTCAAAGCAGAACACACACACTACACAAACACACACACACTACACAAACACACTACACACACTACACAAACACACAGACACTACACAAACACACACACTACACAAACACACACACACTACACAAACACACACACTACACAAACACACACACACTACACAAACACACACACTCTACACAAACACACACACACTACACAAACACACACACACTACACAAACACACAGACACTACACAAACACACACACACACACTACACAAACACACACACTCTACACAAACACACACACTCTACACAAACACACACACACTACACAAACACACACACTCTACACAAACACACACACTACACAAACACACACTCTACACAAACACACACACTCTACACAAACACACACACTCTACACAAACACACACACACTACACAAAACACACCACACACACACACTCTACACAAATACACACACACACTACACAAACACACCACACACACACACTCTACACAAACACACACTACACAAACACACACACTACACAAACACACACACACTACACAAACACACACACACTACACAAACACACGCACTCTACACAAACACACACACACTACACAAACACACACTCTACACAAACACACACTCTACACAAACACACACACTACACAAACACACACACTCTACACAAACACACAACACAGCAGCAGGTTACACAATATCAGTTACCTTAAACTGAATAACCTCAGTCTGACTTCTCTTCTTTGCAGGTAAATGACGCGTACTTTCAGAAAGTCAGTCTGTCCGCCACCGGCTTCTTCATGTAAGTCCTGTTTCCACTGGCCCTACTCGGCCCTACTCGGCCCTACTCAGCTCTAGTCTAGTCAGAGCAGAGCAGAGCAGAGCAGAGCAGAGCAGAGCAGAGCAGAGCAGAGCAGGTGGAAACAGGGCTATCGGTTCCTTTATGGTGGATTTCCTGTGTACTTACAGGGGACCCCCGACTGACGTGGACTGGGAGAAGGGAGAGGGAAACGCCTACTACTACTTCACTTTTGGGGCGTGCTGCTCGGAGGTGGAGGTCGACTGCCTCACGGGGGATCACAAAGTACCACAGACACATGAGCACTTTGTAGTTTGAGTCAAAACCTGTGGCTCTAACGTGTGTGTGTTGCAGAACATCAGGACTGACATCGTAATGGACGTGGGAAAAAGCATCAACCCTGCTCTGGACATAGGACAGGTACTGCTCTAGTCCAAAACCTCTCTGTGGTCTCAAACCCAGAGCACAGGGCCTTCTCTGTGGTCTTAAACCCAAAGCACAGGGCCTTCTCTGTGGTCTTAAACCCAAAGCACAGGGCCTTCTCTGTGGTCTTAAACCCAGAGCACAGGGCCTTCTCTGTGGTCTTAAACCCAGAGCACAGGGCCTTCTCTGTGGTCTTAAACCCAGAGCACAGGGCCTTCTCTGTGGTCTTAAACCCAGAGCACAGGGCCTTCTCTGTGGTCTTAAACCCAGAGCACAAGGCCTTCTCTGTGGTCTTAAACCCAGAGCACAGGGCCTTCTCTGTGGTCTGAAACCCAGAGCACAGCGCCTTCTCTAACCCAGAGCACAGGGCCTTCTCTGTGGTCTTAAACCCAGAGCACAGGGCCTTCTCTGTGGTCTGAAACCCAGAGCACAGGGCCTTCTCTGTGGTCTTGAACCCAGAGCAGAGGGCCTTCTCTGTGGTCTTAAACCCAGAGCACAGGGCCTTCTCTGTGGTCTGAAACCCAGAGCACAGGGCCTTCTCTGTGGTATATAATGTACTATAATGTCTAATGTGCTATATGTGTGTGAGGTGGAGGGGGGCTTCGTGCAGGGCCTGGGGCTCTACACCACAGAGCAGCTGCTGTACTCTGCAGACGGGAGCCTCCAGAGCAGAGGAGCCGCTACCTACAAGATCCCTGCTCTGTGTGACGTCCCGGGACAGCTCAACGTGCAGCTGCTGGCCGACGCCCACAACCCCTCTGCCATCTACCTGTCCAAGGTACTGCTCAGAGTATCCGAGTACCTCCGGTACTGCTCAGAGTATCCGAGTACCTCCGGTACTGCTCAGAGTATCCGAGTACCTCCAAGGTACAGCCCAGAGTATCCGAGTACCTCCAAGGTACTGCCCAGAGTATGTTCAGAGGACGACGCAACAGAAACCGGAGAAAGTAAACAGTCATTTAGTCATTGTGGTTAGCCGTGCTTCTAAGTGAACTAACTCATTGATAGACGTGTGTACTTTTAATAGTGAAAGTAATGGCTGTAATACTTTTCCCAGAGTACTGTGCTTAGGTGTATTTCCTTCTGCTTGTGGCTCTGAGGCACAGGAGCAGAGAGTCTCAGACTGTGGGTCGTTGATCTGAAAACCTGCATCTGTTCTGTCTCCGCAGGGAGTCGGCGAGCCCCCGGTGTTCTTCGGCGCCACCGTCTTCTTTGCCATAAAGTCGGCCATCGCTGCAGCACGAACAGAGCGAGGCCTGAGCGCCACGTTCCCTCTGAGCTCCCCCGCCACAGCCGCCAGGATCAGGATGAGCTGCGAGGACCGCTTCAGCCGCATGGTGCGAGCTACAGGCGTCATACAGGCGTCACACAGGCGTCACACAGGCGCCATACAGGAGTCACACAGGAGTCATACAGGCGTCACACAGCTGCCGTTTATATACTTCTATATATAGTGTTGTTATTATCCAAGGCAAAGATTTCAGATTCATGCTGTTTTAGCAGCATGAATCTGAAATGCAGCCTCCCCATGTTTAGGACTCTGGGACCAGCAGGAGTCCAGTCCCTGTGCTCCTCAGAGTCCCAGCAGGAGTCCAGTCCCTGTGCTCCTCAGAGTCCCAGCAGGAGTCCAGTCCCTGTGCTCCTCAGAGTCCCAGCAGGAGTCCAGTCCCTGTGCTCCTCAGAGTCCCAGCAGGAGACCAGTCCCTGTGCTCCTCAGAGTCCCAGCAGGAGTCCAGTCCCTGTGCTCCTCAGAGTCCCAGCAGGAGTCCAGTCCCTGTGCTCCTCAGAGTCCCAGCAGGAGTCCAGTCCCTGTGCTCCTCAGAGTCCCAGCAGGAGTCCAGTCCCTGTGCTCCTCAGAGTCCCAGCAGGAGACCAGTCCCTGTGCTCCTCAGAGTCCCAGCAGGAGGCCAGTCCCTGTGCTCCTCAGAGTCTGAAGAGCACAGGGACTGTTCTGAACTTTGGTCCGAGGCCATGGAGACTCACATTTTATTGGTGTGAATAATTCCTTTTATAATAACAGTAAAATACTAAAACAGTTATGGACACATGGTGAAATAATGTTTCTGTTCTGTTCGCAGGCTTCGTCCTCCACAGAAGACGCCTCTCGCTGCAGCCTCGACGTGTGACTCAAGAAGAAGAATATTTTCATGAACGACCTGCTCATTACTGCATGTGTCACAAATATATAAATATAATACTTATATAATACTGAGTACATCCAGAATAAATGCTTTTCAAGCTGTTTATTGTCAGACCGATGTCAGTGTCTCAGATTTCCAAGGCCCAGGGTTTGAAGGATCCTGGTTCACAGACTGGGACCTGCACCAAAGAAAAGTCATAAATATGAGTGAATTAAACAAAGTGTGGTCAGTGTCCGGACCTTGTGGGTGAATGTGGAGGCAGCAGCCAGGCAGGCGCGCTCCGCTGTGGCCGGACTGTCCAGAGAGAAGGGACCGGACAGACCTGAGTCTGAGCGCGCTGCGGACACGGCGTCTTTAATGGCAAAGAACACGGCACTTCCCAAGAACACGGCTGGCTCTCCGATGCCCTGCAGGAGACACACACGTCACACACATGTGTTTCAGAAGTGTGTGTGACGTGGCTGACCTTAGAGGAGTAGATGGCGTGGGGGTTGTCAGAGTCCGGCAGCAGGTAGACGTTAAAGGACAAAGGCATGTCACACAGCGCAGGGATCTTGTACTGAGATGGTCCTCGAGTGTACAGGAGCCCAGAAGGACCAAACTTCAGCTCCTCCAAAGTGTACAAGCCCAGGCCCTGCATGAACGCTCCCTCGATCTGCAAACATCACAAACATGGATCTGATTCTACTGTGACCAGAGCGAGACAGGAGAGAGAGAGACCTGTCCGATGTCCACAGAGGGGTTGATGCTTCTGCCGATGTCCATCACGATATCTGTCCTCAGCGTCTGCACACCACACACTCTTTACTGCATCTACACAGTCACATGTATCTGAGAGGAAGAAGAGGTCTTACTCTGTAGTCCCCGGTCAGACAGTCCAGCTCCACTTCACTGAAGCAGACTCCGTATGTGAAGTAGGAGTACGGCCTCCCCTCCATCTGCTCCCAGTCCATGTATGTGTCCGGCCCTCTGCACACAGTCACTGTCAGCAGTTACCCACAGAACCTCTGACACATGGGGCTCATACCTGTAGTATCCAGTGGCAGACAGGCTGATCTTATCAAAGAAGGCCGCCTTCACCTGACACCATAAAGACCCAAGTCAAACCTGAGACTTCACAGGTGCTTAAAGCACAACCACCTTAAGGACAAGTTTTTTGGTTCTTCTGCACCAGACAAATGTAAGACATTAGTTTGCTGTAAAAGAACCAAATAACTGAATCTAGAAAGACAAGATGAACATTCTAAACTAAAGGACACGTCCAAAACAACGTGAGGTCAGCAATGATGTCACACATCTGAGAGTGACGTCACACATCTGAGAGTGACGTCACACATCTGTGTGTGACGTCACACATCTGTGAGTGACGTCACACATGTGTGAGTGACGTCACACATCTGTGAGTGACGTCACACATCTGAGAGTGACGTCACACATCTGTGAGTGACGTCACACATCTGTGACACATCGTGACGTCACACATCTGAGAGTGACGTCACACATCTGAGAGTGACGTCACACATCTGAGAGTGACGTCACACATCTGTGAGTGACGTCACACATCTGTGAGTGACGTCACACATCTGATGAGTGACGTCACACATCTGTGAGTGACGTCACACATCTGTGAGTGACGTCACACATCTGTGTGTGAGTGATGTCACACATCTGTGAGTGACGTCACACATCTGTGTGTGAGGTCAGAGCAGATCATTCTAGACTCTGACTGAACTCGTTCTTTAGAGCTTGCTCTGAGCTGAAGAGCTCAAAGTTCACTGTTTGCACCAGTTTCATTTAAAGTCTTTTTCTACATAAATCAATCCGTACCCAACTTTCCCATGATCCTTCAGGGTTCTTCTGCATGACAGGCCTAAGTCTCTGATACAGGATCTGACAGGCGTCCTACAACATATGATCAAAGCAGAATGTAACGGTGTATTCTTCTTTTACTGGGATCAAAGCAGAGACTGGAGCAGTGTGACCTTCACAGCCATTCCGTTGGCGTCGGTGCCAAAGGACGCAGCGGAGGGACAGGTGTTGGGGACGGAGCTGGTGCTGGTCTCACTGATGTAGATCTTAGAGATGGGAATGTGCAGCTCCCGACTGGCCACCTGTGGAAAAGGAACCCGTTTCTTATCTCATCTCTTTTACAGATTTGTGTTGAAACAGTAAATGAAGAGAGCGGTGGCTTTAATACCTGCTGCATTTTAGTGTGTATGCCCTGTCCCATCTCTGTCCCAGCGTGAGCCACCAGCACCGAGCCGTCGCTGTAGATGTGGACCAGAGACGCCGCCTGTGGCAAAAACCATCAGTTACTGTTTGACAGACATTAATGTAGTTTTTTCACAAACCTGGTTCAGAAATCCCTCTGAAAAGGCGATGCCGTATCTGATGGGTACGATGGCCACGCCCCTTTTCTTCCACTGGTTTTGTTTATTGAATAGTTCCACAGCGCGACGGCGGGCCTCAAAGTCACTCCTCCTCTTGCACTCGTCCCAACAGAGATGCAGGTTCTCAGCGTTGAACTCCATCTTGTGGTAAGTGAGGGAGGGGCCTCTGTACATGTTCAGCTCACGCACCTGGACAAACATGTTCATCATATAAGACATTTTTTTCAATTCAGTTTATTCTTGTATAGCTCAAAATCACAACAGTAGTTTACAAAATTGTTGAATTTGCCAAAACAGATCAGAAAATCAATTAGTTCAAACAATAGAAATGCGATGATAGAAAACACGTGTTGGTCCATGAGGGGCGGAGACCAAGGTCCATAAATGTGGTTGAATGTGGAGTGTCCTGGACCATCACCACTGTCCTCATGTTAGACCCTCCGGCACCGGCAAAGGAAACACTGTAAAACCCTGTGGAGAAAGGTGAGAAACCTCAGAAAGTGCACATTGAGAGAGATCTGCTCCCACGGACTGTATATCCAGGACTCTACAAAATGAAAATATGACTTTGCTGTAAAAGATATGGAAATGGTTGAACGTTGAAAGGAACCAGAGGAGTGCTGATTAAGAGATCATTATTCATCCCACAGTGGGGAAATGTCAGTGTTGCATCAGCGGTTACTGAACAGTAGGAATGAACCATCTATGCTGAGATAAAAAGTACCTTGTCTGCGGGCATGGCCAGCGCCATGGCAACATCAGTCACCATGTTCTCCATGACCATGCAGCTCTGGGGCACGCCAAAGCCTCTGAAGGCCGTGTTGGAGCGGAGGTTGGTGCGACAGGCAGCTCCGGAGCCGCGCAGGTGAGGGATGTTGTAGGCGTTGTCCATTTGCACAATCATCTTCTCTACGACCTACACACAGGACAGACTCCTCAGAGGAAGTATGAGCCTCCTCCTCCTCTCCTCAGATACACAGCATGTCTGTTTTTCATTCATTCAATTCAATGTATTAATGTACAGCCCTAAATCTCAAAGGACTTTACACAACGACTTGACATAAATGTTGTCCTGGATCGCCAAGGAAAAACTAACTAAAAAATGTATTAACCTTTATTTAACCAGGACTGAGTTTCAGAATCTCTCTTTCACAGAAGTCTTCAACCCAGAGGGGAGGAACCTTTTGTGCATGTTTATAGAAAACCTTTGCAAACATGAGGAGAACATGCAAACTCCACTCAGAAATTCCCCTCACACCCAGGGGTCGCGCATAAACCCATAAACCCTCACTTCTGCGGAGCAGCTGGTGCTCAGGGTTTAAGTTACCGTTAAAGATTCATCCACAGAAAAACCAGCGTTGGCAAAATACTCCAGATCAGCAGCAATGATTCTGCCGTCATTCATGAATCCAACCTGAAAATTCATCCAAATGTTAGAAAAGTGAAACAACAAGTACATTGTGCTACCCTCGGGTCAAAATGGCGTCCTCCTCCTTCGGGGCTCAAAGTTGCTCGAGGGCAACACAAGGGTTAAAGAAACAGCAGCTCCACCTTGTACTTGGCCACCACCGGGTGGCGCCCTCCTGTGATCAGCATGTCATCTCCACGCTCCAGCACACAGCGGACCGCTCGGTTTGTTCTGAAACATAAAACACATATGACCACAGTGTGAGTCTGAAGGCCATGTTCTGCACTGGGAGCTCCTGTGAAGCTGGAGTCTTACTTCCAGGCTGCCACAGCCGCGATGGACGTGAGGATGGCAGTTTTGGTGACTTTTCCCCCAAAGGCTCCTCCCAGCCTCTTCACATGACACACCACTCTGTTGGACGGGATGGACAGAGTCTCTGCGACTGCCACCTGCACAACACACAGCCACATAACACACACACACATGATGTAACAGAAGTGTGTGTGCTGCACACCTGTGTGCTTGTGGGCCACTGTGTGGACACGTAGAGGTGGAACTCCTGCTCCTCCCCCAATGGGACCACCAGGGTGCTCTGGGTCTCCATGTAGAAGTGCTCCTGCCCCCCCAGACGGATGCCCCCTGAACACAGCAGAGTCAGGCCCTGCTCTCCTCCTCCTGAGTCTGATGCTGTTCCACAAACCTTCATAAATGTGATCCACGCTTCTGAAGGCTTCAGTCACATTCCCTCGTTCAAGGCTCCTCCGAGGCTCGTAAAAAGACGCTCTCTCTATGGCCTCCTGAGGTTCAACACAAGTCACTTACACTAATCTAAGTTTGTGTTCAAGTCCCAATAGTGTCATAAATGCAGAGCGGGACCTCGATGGTGAAGATGGGGTCAGGCAGGTCTTCATACTGGACTCTCACAACGGCTGCTCCTCTTTTAGCGTGAGCTTTAGTATCTGCCACCACAGCACACACCATCTGCCCGACACACAGCACCTGACACACAACACATGTTTATGTTCACACACTCCATCTGCTTATGGAGGAGAGCACTGGCTCTGGTTAGACATGTGTCACATGACCAGCAGAGGGCGCTGCTGTGCAGCTTTGTGGATAACATTTATTCAGACATTGCAGATAAAGCCGACTGTAACAGGTCAAACCCTGATCCACAGAGAAGCACAAACGTTTGACAGAACACTGACTTGGTTCTGGGCCAGTATGTCTTCATCGTAGCCAAAGTCTGTTCGCACTTTCTTCCCTGGAATATCTTCAGCTGTGATCACGTCCACCACACCAGGCATCTGCAGAGCAGCAGACACATCCAGCTGTCTGCAAACACACAACTGTGATCAAAACCACTGCATATAAATATATCTCTGTCTGTTCTCAAGTGTACGATGTGGATACTTGATGTTGGCGTATGCTCTGGAGCTGGTGACCAGAGCCAGGTGGAGCTCCCCTGGTGGTGACGGCAGGTCATCGCAGTACACCGCCTCTCCTGTGGCCTGGCTCAGAGCCGCCTTGTGCATGATAGGCCGCCCCACGGCATCATGGGACTTCTGAGAGTCGGACACGGTCTGCAACAGACGCCTGATGTTCAAAGAGCTCCGTGTTTGCTGTGGTCATGTGACTTATTCTTCTGTTGTACCTGAAAGTGCTGCACACTGGGCTGGATGTATGAGGGCAGAGGGAGGAGCCTCTGAGGAACCTCTCCACTGATCCAACCCTGAGAACAACAGTTACAGTGTGTTTGAAAGACACACACATGATGTGGAGACACACACAGTACCATGTGTTTGAGCTTGTGCAGGAGCTCCAGGTGAAACTTGAAGAACAAAGTGAGGGTCAGGACTCTTCTGAACTGCACCTTCCCCCCCGGAGCAGATGGGGGCAGCTCCAGCTCCTCCAACAGGACGTCATAGGCCCGGGACAGAACAGACTCGCTCCACTCTCTGAGGACACAGTCATTCAAAGCTCACACTCTCTCTGAGACAAGTCCATGTAAAGACCATAAATATGTTGATAGTGCGTCATTAGAAACCAGAAGAGAGTAAGTACTTGTTGATGAGAGCTCGACAGGTCTGAGCAGCTTTGACTGTGGTCGGTCCCACTCCTCCATAGTACAGGCTGATGTCACGGACCACAGAGGAGCCCTCACAGAACAGCACCCGCATGCCACACGTCACAGTGGAGAAGGCACTCTCTTTACGAGGAGCGTGACGGAGAGCACTCACCAGCTCCCCCTGCAGGGAACAAATGTCATCAAGACGTAGGATGGAATCTTAGGGGTGGTTATCGTGTGAACCTTTGAGGTGAAGGGGATGAAGACAGACAGCACGACCTCCTCCGGTCTCACCAGGGTCTTTCCAAAACTCACAAAGAAGTCCTGGTTCAGGGGCAGCTCCCGTCTGTCGGCTGGAACAGTGACACAGACACATGTTCTTTGTGCTGCTTCAACAATCACATGTTTGAATCAAACTTACAGCTAGAAGCCACAGACACTTTACAGTTTCCTGCAGCGAGAACTGGGTTCAGGTCTGAGTTTGGAAAAGCACTCATGATGTGACCTCCGAGAGACTGAAGGAGTAGGATGAGTGTGATTAGTGTGTTCCAGTTCAATAAACATGAGCTCAGTGTCCTGCACTCACAGCCTGGTTGCGGACCTGCTGACTGCCCAGGTTCTTGAGCTGTTTGGTGAGGGCTCTGAACAGCTCTGAGCGCTCAGCACCACTCTCACAGATGATCTTCTGTAGAAGAGTTAAGAGCTCCGACAGAGAGCAGCCGGCTCCCACCCACACACCTGCAACACATGTGTGTGCACTGGTCACACCACCCAGACACCACCCACACACCACCCACACACCTGCAACACATGTGTGTGCACTAGTCACTAGGGGTGGGAACCTAAGGGTACCTCACGATACGATACGATACAAAGCTCACTATATATATATTATCACGATAAATAAAAGAAAAAATACACTTCATTTCATGATAAATGGAATGGAGATGCGTAATGTAGCCATATATTAAGAATTGATACCAATTTTTTTTGAAAAATGTAAAAAAAAAATCTTTTATTATTTATTTTATTTTTTTAATTGACATCGATACTTGGCAAATGCATATCGATAATCGAATCGCGGGAGAAAGTATCGTGATACTTGGATCCAGGATTTCTTTAAGGCTGTCAACCCAGTCCTCAAAGGAGCAGTGAGGCTGCAGGTTTACTCCCCCCCAGCAGGAGCAGTCTGCAGCCACACCTGCCCTCTCTGGAACTAGTTTGCTTTAAGAACTACACCTCTTGGCAGAGGTCTGTGCTCTGTGAGTGCCTTTCTCGTTGTCCATATAAACAGTGAAAGGACAGTGTAGTGGCCAACCTGTACCTGTGCCACTGAGATGTGCCCAAACACCGGTCGCTATGGCTGACGCGCTTCAGATGGCTATTGTGTCAGCTTTAACCGTAGCGTGCATAAGTCCACAGATGTTCATTGTATAATAAAAATCAATGTTTATTTATGCATAAATCAAGACAACAAAACTCCATAAAAGTAGCGGTCAAAAACCATTGGCCCCTACCGGGTTGCACACCTGCATGGCTCATTAGAGAGAGCCTATTTATGCTAGACCTACCCTCCACAGACCTAACACACACAGGCGCCCCCACAGGCCAATGATTGCACATGTTTGGCTCTTACAGACAGACTGGACCTACCCTCTGAAGTGTGTGTGACCTCAAACAGCTCCTGAACTCTGATTGGAGAGATCATCAGTGTGTGGAGGACACCTTTAAACTTCATACTGGGCCCTGAATAAACAGAATGTGATTAGTTTTATTGAAGAGAGACGGAGAACACTGTCCCAGAGTAAACAGCACAGACTCATAATAACACTGTCCCAGAGTAAACAGCACAGACTCATAACACTGTCCCAGAGTAAACAGCACAGACTCATAATAACACTGTCCCAGAGTAAACAGCACAGACTCATAATAACACTGTCCCAGAGTAAACAGCACAGACTCATAATAACACTGTCCCAGAGTAAACAGCACAGACTCATAATAACACTGTCCCAGAGTAAACAGCACAGACTCATAATAACACTGTCCCAGAGTAAACAGCACAGACTCATAATAACACTGTCCCAGAGTAAGCAGCACAGACTCATAATAACACTGTCCCAGAGTAAACAGCACAGACTCATAACACTGTCCCAGAGTAAACAGCACAGACTCATAATAACACTGTCCCAGAGTAAACAGCACAGACTCATAATAACACTGTCCCAGAGTAAACAGCACAGACTCATAATAACACTGTCCCAGAGTAAACAGCACAGACTCATAATAACACTGTCCCAGAGTAAACAGCACAGACTCATAATAACACTGTCCCAGAGTAAACAGCACAGACTCATAATAACACTGTCCCAGAGTAAACAGCACAGACTCATAATAACACTGTCCCAGAGTAAACAGCACAGACTCATAATAACACTGTCCCAGAGTAAACAGCACAGACTCATAATAACACTGTCCCAGAGTAAACAGCACAGACTCATAATAACACTGTCCCAGAGTAAACAGCACAGACTCATAATAACACTGTCCCAGAGTAAACAGCACAGACTCATAATAACACTGTCCCAGAGTAAACAGCACAGACTCATAATAACACTGTCCCAGAGTAAACAGCACAGACCCATAATAACACTGTCCCAGAGTAAACAGCACAGACTCATAATAACACTGTCCCAGAGTAAACAGCACAGACTCATATTAACACTGTCCCAGAGTAAACAGCACAGACTCATAATAACACTGTCCCAGAGTAAACAGCACAGACTCATAATAACACTGTCCCAGAGTAAACAGCACAGACTCATAATAACACTGTCCCAGAGTAAACAGCACAGACCCAGGTGTGTGTTCCCCATCAGCAGAGGGGCCTCAGGGTGCTTAGCCTTGAGCTCCAGCAGCTCCTCCAGAGAACCAGGGCACAGCAGCCTCGTCCTCTCCCCACAGAAGGACAGTGTCTTTGGGACACTGTCCCTGTCCCCCATCAGCTGAGCACACATTCAGACACAAACATTTTTATGGGACTCTATAATATCAATATTTATATTCTTCTGGCAGGTTGTTGTAGAGAGTGTCTTACGATGAGTTCTGGGGGAAAGATGAACTCCTGAGTGGGGTCCAGAGGCTGAAAGTCTTCTTTTTCAAACAGCTGTGGTTTTTCCTGAAGAAAGTTCTATGAAAGACACATGTTTTATGAGTAAAATGTCACGTGACCAATGATCCTTCAGCTGGTGTCAGCTCACAGGCTCAGCTCCGTCTCTGTTGCTCTGACAACAATCTCCGTTGTCCCGACGACAGTCTCCGTCGTCCAGACTACAGTCTCCGTTGCCCTGACAACAGTCTCCGTTGCCCTGACGACAGACTCCGTTGCCCTGACAACAGTTGGCCTCCTGGTAACAGCAGTTCTTAGAATGAATGACTAAATGATTGTCAGTTGTGAATGATGTCTTGTACCTGACAGAAAGTCCTGTAGCCGTCAACAATGGGTCTGTACCCGGTGCAGCGGCACAGATTACCTGGAAACCAGAGAACATTGAGTTGACATCAGTACAAAACACTCTCCAACAGTAACAGAGACACAGACCAGACAGAGCCTCCCTGACGTCCTCCAAACTGGGCTGGGGCTTGTTCCTCAGCAGAGTGTACATGGACATGACCATCCCAGGAGTGCAGAAGCCACACTGAGAGCCGTTAGCTTTAGCTATTCTCTCCTGTAGCACAAAGGACATTAAAGCAGTACACACAGGTGTTAAATATATTACATACAAACTATGAATCTATACTATAGATGTCATCCTGTATATTAGTCAGCAGCATATGTGCTTATACACACTCTCAGCAGTGGCTCTAGTGCAGTGGCATCAAACTCACTTTAGTCAGAGGCTTTTTTAGGCTTTTATACTGAGGTAACCCTCTTTAGGTCTGTGCCAAAGCAGGAGGGTCTGAGGACTGTGATGATCCGGGACATGTGTTCACATGTCTGGACAGTGATCATCCTGGTATGTTGACCAAAAGATGACTCCTGGGGGTGGGATGGCAGATGGGGAGCCTCACTGTCACTCTGCCCTGGAGCGGACTGTGTCGCTACAATACTATTGATCATCAAAATAATTATCAATTGCAAAATGTTTGTAATGTTGAAATAAAAGTCTAAAAGCTCAGGCTCATTTAATTGTCATGATGAGTATTGAGTTGTGTCCTTGGGCAAGACACTTAACCCCACTTTGCCTGAAGCTCCCACTGAAAGATCTCAGCTCCTTGTGGACTCACCACCTGCAGGAGGATCAGTGAGGGGCTGGTGCTAAGCGTACTGGGTGCAGCTCTGACTGCTACCCCCCCGACCCAGAAATGGATTAAGGGGAAGAAAATGGAGTATTGAGTTGAACCAAAGCTGTGGACCTGCACAGGGTGGAGTCGTGTCTTGGTGCTGCCGATGCCCTCCACGGTGGTGACTGCTGCTCCATGGAGCTGCACGATGGGCACGAGACACGCTGTGGCAGAGAAGTGACTGACAACTGTCAAGGAGAGAGCGCATTGTAAAGAATGTCTTCATTTCTTTAACGTATTCGTATTTATTGTGACGACATAGTGACCAATGCACTTACTGTAAACTACTTTTCACAATAAAATAAATATGATAATCCATGATAATTGTGCTTTTCAGTCACATGCTCAAATGAAAACGTTTTTTATACAGACAGATTGCCTTCTGGGGAAGATCTGTCACATGAACATGACTTTGTACTTTGTAATCAGTCCATGTTCTGTTTCTTATTGGACAAGACAAATTAAGACAATATTAACCGTGTACAGTCATAGTAGTGTGTAGAGATGCTTCCACACTGCATTACAAACCTCCTTCACACAAGTCTCCAGTCTAGAAGTCCTTGCATCATGAATTCTTTGCCTTCTACTCTGTCCACCTTATCTCTAACAGACTAACTTATGAGCGTTTCAGATGAATTCAGAAGCATGACTTCTAATACCACGGGTATTACAGGCAGAGGAACGTCCACTGAAAAATGGAACATATTAAAATACAGACTCAAATGTAACTTGTTGTTGTCTGAGTCGTGAGGCTGCAGTGGAAGGATACAGGATGGTTCTGGTGCGCGGCTGGTAGCGGGACACCATGACAGTGCAGGCCCCGCAGGCCCCTCCTCCACAGCCGGACTTGGACCCGGTCAGACGCACTGGGGCCGAGTCAAGGACCACAGCACAAACACATCATGAACCAGGAAGGGAAACAGTAAACATTTAAATATGTTATTTTGAATTTCTAGTTCCGTATCACTTTTATCCTTAAGAATAGTTTATGTGTTTAAAGGATAATGTGTAGTTGAGGACATACAGATGTACAAAGTTCTCCTCTAGCTCCGTGACCGTCTGTGGTTTAGCGCTCGCTATGATCCTGGTGTTTATATTGTGATTGTCTTTGTAAATCCAGAGATGAGCTATAAAATGGTTGACCAATCAGATGCCTTCATTCACGTGGGAAACTCCAGCTTGCCTTGCCTTAGCTTAGCAACCGTCTTAACAACCCCAGTTATGGCGTGAAGCTAACGCCATTGGAAAAAACTACCCTGGAAATTGGCCCCAGCTTATGTTCAAATCGGCTTCTTCCACATTAACACTACAGTGACTCCACTCGGTCAGTCCACTACTATACGCTCTAAAAACCCTCATGTAACCCCAATAAAATGATTTTTCTTTTTATATATTATAATATATCTATTTTAATTTATTCAAAAGACATACATTAAAAACCACAAGAAAAATGTAAAAAATGAAACAAAGAAAAAAACATAGATAAATAAATAAAAATACAATTGAATACATATTTAGAAAAGAAATACAGAGTCTGAGGTGAAGGAAAGGACCAGCACTGTGAAGGATACATTTGTCTCGGAGGTAGAACAGCAGCATGGTCTCGGGATCAGCATTCCTCTCTTCCACCTGGGAATAATCCATTAAGTTGGTAAATAAAAAGCCAACAGGTGCAGACAATAGCTTAATTGTGGTGTTGGGAGTTGAAACTAAAATGATTTTTCCATCCAAGCTGCAGCGTCTGGTGGAAATGAGAAACCAGATGCACTTGTCACAATCTACCAAACTTTTATCAACGCAGTAATAAATATATTATTGTCTTGTTCTGTAGCAAAGGAAGGTTTCTCACCCATCATCTGTACTTCTTAGCAAGTTTTCCCGACGTTTCGTCCTCAACCTAGCGGACTTCTTCAGGGAATGAATTCTCGGACCGCGCGTTGGAGATTTATAACCTATGGGTGTGGTTAGCCACACCCTAATCCTGATACTAACTCGTAAACAATCTAAGGTCTGATGTAGAAGGGAGCAGGTCTAACGACCCTGCTGAGGCTAACGACCCTAACTCCTTAGCATGTCACAGACCTATTGTCTGCTGGGATGCTCAAGTGGAGTGCAGGTCTCACCCCTCCTAACTCATTAGCATGTCACTGACCTATTGTCTGCTGGGATGCTCAAGTGGAGTGCAGGTCTCACCCCTCCTAACTCATTAGCATGTCACTGACCTATTGTCTGCTGGGATGCTCAAGTGGAGTGCAGGTCTCACCCCTCCTAACTCATTAGCATGTCACAGACCTATTGTCTGCTGGGATGCTCAAGTGGAGTGCAGGTCTCACCCCTCCTAACTCATTAGCATGTCACTGACCTTGTCCCAAGTTAGGGCGTTGTTTTTAGGATGTTGTCATAGATGCGAGGCAAAACAAATCTTAACCCTCCTCCTCTGTTAAGAGAAGGTTTCTGTTTCCTCACAAAAATGGCTTCTTTCACCCCTCTCTCAAACCAATTCTTCTCCCGAGCCAGAATTTTAACCTCTGTGTCATCCACCGTGTGGTTGGAGGCCTTGAGGTGGAGATGAACAGCCGACTGTGGCCCACTAGAGTTTTCTCTACGATGTTGGTAAAGTCGTTTCTGTAGAGTTTGTTTGGTTTCTCCAATATAGTGGTCAGTGCACTCCTCTTCACTACATTTAATTGAATACACCACATTGCTCTGTTTGTGTCTGGGTGTTTTGTCTTTGGGATGCACTAATTTCTGTCTTAACGTGTTGAAAGGTTTGAAATACACAGGGATTTTGTGTTGCCTAAAGATTCTTTGTAGTTTCTCTGAAACTCCCGCCACATACGGTAAAGACACCCCTCTCCTCCTACTTTCTTCTGTCTGTTGGACTGTGTCTCTGGCCTTTCTCGTCCTTTGGGCTTTAGTAAAAGACCACTTGGGGTAGCCACATCTGGAAAGTGCTCTCTCTGAACATGTTTGGTTTCTCTGTTCTTTCCCTCCGAGCTAGTGGGGACCTGGTGGGCTCTGTGTTGAAGCGTTCTAATGACCCCGAGTTTGTGTTGTAGCGGATGATTTGAATCAAAGGCCAGGTACTGGTCAGTGTGAGTGGACTTTCTGAAGACCTCAGTCTCTAACTGTCCGTTCTCCAGTATGATGACCTTACAATCTAGAAAGGCGAGTTCACTCTCCTTAGCATCCTCGCGAGTGAAATTTATAAAAGGGTCCACCATACGTGGTGTTAAGACACATTTCAAGTATTTCACAGATGTGGTCAGCTGTTAGTTTCGTTCTCTCCCCTAGTGTGGCGTCTTTCTGTAGGCTTTCTCTTACAGCCTCCACCGCCTCTGTAATAGGGACCGACGTAAAAAGCGATGTCACATCAAACGAGACCATTGTCTCATCTGTGTCAAACTGGAGGTGTTTGATTTTATTTACAAATTCTTTTGTGTTTTCTATGTGATGGTGGGTGTTACCCACCAAAGGAGCCAGAATGGTTTTGAGGTGTTTAGCCAGGTTGTAGGTGATAGAGTCTATGCTACATACAATAGGCCGAAGTGGAAAGTTTTGTTTGTGTATTTTTGGGAGGCCATAAATACTGGGGATGGTGTCTCCTGGGTAAAGTTTGTAATATAGTGGTTTTTCAATAATGCCCTCTTTCACTAAGTTCTGAAGGAAGTCTATAATCTTTTTCCTAAACCCACTGGTAGGGTCCCTCTTCAATGGCTGGTACGTGTTGGTGTCCAAGAGTAACTGATTAACTTTGGCCTCATAGTCTGAGCTGTTGAGGATAACTGTGCATCTGCCTTTGTCAGCTGGTTTCCTCAACAGCTCAGACTATGAGGCTCCCCAGTCTCTCCTATAGTGGCCAATCTGTATATGGAGAAACTGGAGGAACAAGCCCTGGGCTCTTACCAAGGGACAGCGCCAAGCCATTGGTTTCGATATGTAGACGATACATGGGTTAAGTTAAAGAAACAGGAAGTGGAACCATTTTCAGCACACATTAACTCGGTGGACCCTTTTATAAATTTCACTCGCGAGGATGCTAAGGAGAGTGAACTCGCCTATCTAGATTGTAAGGTCATCATACTGGAGAACGGACAATTAGAGACTGAGGTCTTCAGAAAGTCCACTCACACTGACCAGTACTTGGCTTTTGATTCAAATCATCCGCTACAACACAAACTCGGGGTCATTAGAACGCTTCAACACAGAGCCCACCAGGTCCCCACTAGCTCGGAGGGAAAGAACAGAGAAACCAAACATGTTCAGAGAGCACTTTCCAGATGTGGCTACCCCAAGTGGTCTTTTACTAAAGCCCAAAGGACGAGAAAGGCCAGAGACACAGTCCAACAGACAGAAGAAAGTAGGAGGAGAGGGGTGTCCTTACCGTATGTGGCGGGAGTTTCAGAGAAACTACAAAGAATCTTTAGGCAACACAAAATCCCTGTGTATTTCAAACCTTTCAACACGTTAAGACAGAAATTAGTGCATCCCAAAGACAAAACACCCAGACACAAACAGAGCAATGTGGTGTATTCAATTAAATGTAGTGAAGAGGAGTGCACTGACCACTATATTGGAGAAACCAAACAAACTCTACAGAAACGACTTTACCAACACCGTAGAGAAAACTCTAGTGGGCCACAGTCGGCTGTTCATCTCCACCTCAAGGCCTCCAACCACACGGTGGATGACACAGAGGTTAAAATTCTGGCTCGGGAGAAGAATTGGTTTGAGAGAGGGGTGAAAGAAGCCATTTTTGTGAGGAAACAGAAACCTTCTCTTAACAGAGGAGGAGGGTTAAGATTTGTTTTGCCTCGCATCTATGACGACATCCTAAAAACAACGCCCTAACTTGGGACAAGGTCAGTGACATGCTAATGAGTTAGGAGGGGTGAGACCTGCACTCCACTTGAGCATCCCAGCAGACAATAGGTCAGTGACATGCTAAGGAGTTAGGGTCGTTAGCCTCAGCAGGGTCGTTAGACCTGCTCCCTTCTACATCAAGCAGACCGTAGATTGTTTACGAGTTAGTATCAGGATTAGGGTGTGGCTTACCACACCCATAGGTTATAAATCTCCAACGCGCGGTCCGAGAATTCATTCCCTGAAGAAGTCCCCAGGTTGAGGACGAAACGTCGGGAAAACTTGCTAAGAAGTACAGATGATGGGTGAGAAACCTTCCTTTGCTTTGACTAATCCCTGTACGACTGAGAGCTTACACAAACTTGTCTTGTTCTGTAAATAATTCTCAGCACTAATAAAGTGTAACATGGATCCAGTGAAAATGGGACAAAGACAGTGTTGTATAAACGAGAGCAAAAAGTTACAAAACAATTTCCAGAATTTTTTGAGAAAATAAACATGTGACAATTTTTGTTATCAGTGTTTGGGAGAACACCGCGTTATTCGGTTTCACAGTGGCTTTCTTATAAATGACGTCACGCATGGGTTCTGATCAGTAACCTTCATCATGTGCTTTGACATTTTATTCTCTATTTCAATGTGTTTTTACCCAAAATATGACTCGTTGGTGTCGTGTAAAAGGCTGTTCTGGTAAAACAGATGTGACAATGGCGTTAGCAGATCCTTCAGGTTCTTATTTTAAATGTTCTTGATTCACAGCTGAAGGCCTGCCATAAAATGTATTTTGTTATGTTTTTTTGTAACATGGACAAATTAACATACAGCATTCTGAAGCCCAGGCATACAAAAATTGTGTGTTTTTTATTATTCGATTTTTTTTACTTAACTTCTCTTTTAGGACCAGTGGAAACGATCCCACTCGGTGCAGAGTAGAGCCGAGTCGAGTAGGGCTAAGTAGGGCTGGTGGAAACGGTGCAGTAGAGAAACATACACTCACAGACACTAAATCTCACTTTGCTCCACGCTGCTGTATTTGTGCATTATGTTTTTGTGGAAATAAATATTATTTACGGTCTACGGTGTGAAAGTTCAAACCTCAGAGAAAAGGTCAAATCGGGACAAAAACTCAAGACGAACTTTTGCATAAACTTGAGTTTCGTTTTTTGAGAAAGAGTAAAGTTTGTCATTACCTTCTTTCCGTTGACGAAGAAGAGCAGAGTGTCAGGTTTGGGAGAAGACATGTTGAAGAGTGGACCATAGATTTACAGAATAAACACAGGAAGAATGTCGTCAAGCTGTGCACGAGCCAGTGTTCTACGCACTTCCGCCCGACCTTCAAAATAAGAGAGGTCCCAGGCATCCGGTGTGTCAGAATAAAAGCCCCAAAGAGTAAATTTTAGAGGAAAAAAGTAAAAAATCGAACGTGGCAAGTTACGTTTTTTTTCCCACCAGGTTCTTTACTTCTCAATAATTCTTATTATCTGATCATTTAAAGGAAAATAATCCACAATAAGGACTATTAAGCACACTTGGCCATAATAATTTGGCCAAAATAATTTACAAGTTTTAATTCTGTTATGTAGCTCAGTTGGTAGAGCATTGGCCTTTGAGCCAGAGGGTCGTGGGTTCGAGCCCGACCTTCACCATCAACTCCCACTGTCTGCTGTCGTTGTGTCCTTGGGCAAGACACTTAACCTCTGGGGCGGCTGTGGCTGTAAAGTACCAAACTGCTGTTGTGTCCTTAGGCAAGACACTTCACCCCCATTGCCTAGAGTCTGGGAGGGGGCCGATGGCACAGACTGGTTGCCTCGCTTCTGTCAGTGTGCCCCAGGGCAGCTGTGGCTACAGTAGTAGTTTATCACCACTGTGTTTGGAGAGAGAGAATAATGACATGTGAAGCGTCTCCGAGTGTCCATAAAACCAATGCACTATTATTATGTAACACTTAAAACTCGTTATTGACAAAGCTTTGTAAATAACATGAAAAAGTAGAGTTTGCATGTTCTTCCTGTTGCTGGAGTTAGAAAAGTGAAGATATGATAATAATCCCTCGTTCTTCCACAAGACCAAATCCAGAATCCAGAGCTCCCTGTTGTTGAATGAAAGAAGGAAAAAGATCAGTATTTCATGTCAAAAATAGTTTATTCTCATTGATATTTTGGCATATGGACAGTTTGGTCTTGAATGGTTTTGCTACTCTCCGGTCACAGAGATAAGGGCTGCCATGCATTTCACAGCCGCATACACTTAACATTAGACTTAAAATATTACAGTAAGTACATTCTGAAGAACAGTCTCCTCCCATTCCCAAAGAAAACAGTTCATTTCCACTTTTGCATTTCATAGTTGGGCTACATTTAGCAAACCAGGTCAAATAAACAGTCAAATATGAACAGGAGTAGATTAAGATTATCTTTGATCTGAAGCCATGTGCATTAAGCAGTGGGTTGCGTTGGGGAAAAAATGGCACAATTTGATTTGGCTCAACAGAGCGACTTGGCAAGACATTCAAACCACTGCTGTTATTAAAGTGCACCATGTAATCCTCTGGTGGGGTCTGTCTTAAAACACATCTGTATCTGCAAAGAGAGGCCACGGGGCAAAGTTACAGGTCAGATCTGAGGCATGCAACAACAATCTGAGTTATTTTAAAAGAGCGATACACAGGTCTGTAATGAAGCAGATATATCTTGTAGAGTGGAAAGAGTGGAATCTCCCTGGAGACATGCAGATGGCAGCACCCACAGAGAGAAGCCATAGTGCACCTTCAGGACCACAGTTCAGTGTGATCTGAGTGGATTGTTACACATGAGCATTTATCTGCAAACCAGGCACCAACAAAACAGTCTATGGTACTCAATTATTATCATCTGAAATGTATAAAGAGGCACTGTTTTGTTTTTCATTCGGGGAACTTATATAAGCACTACGTATTTCCTTAATATAACTGGCTCTCCAAGGTTTAAATATTCACAGTATAAGGCTACTTGTCTTTAGTATTATAATAAGGTGAAGTAACTTCACATGAGGCCAGAGGTGAGTAGGCCTACACTCTAGTGCTAATATATGCACGTATTTTAAGTTTAGTTTGGTTTAGGGCCCTTTTCAATACCTCTATAGATTCCCATAATGTGTTGAGTTGGGAAAAGTTTTAGTTTAGGTCAAAATACAAACGACAGGGGATGGTTAGATGGCTTCTCTGCATGTCGTATCTTCACATCTTTAAGCCACCAAATTGATAAACGTGAAATAGTGAAGTCGAGCCATAACAAAGCCCAGGGCCCACCCCATCACGCGTAACCATCCTCTTCCAGTCCTTTCTGTCTGATTCCTCTTCTCTCCTCACTTACTCCTTCATCACTGCTTTCTCTTCTTCTGCTTCAGAGACTTTCGCCTCTTCACAATCATCTCGTACAGTTTATCCATGCCCTCGTGCAGGCCCTCCCCGATGATGGCGCATGCGGGCTGGACGTGGTACGGGGTCCCTGGGTGCAGCTCCCCCAACGCAAGCTGCCTCTCGATCTCTCCCACGTCCAGAGCCTTGGGCAGGTCTTGTTTGTTGGCTATGACCAGCAGCGGTGTGCCCTGGTTCTCGGAAAAGCGCGTGATTTTGTGCAGCTCCGTGCGCGCCTCCTCCAGCCTCTCCGCGTCCACAGAGTCCACCACGTACACGATGCCGTCGGTGCACCGGCTGTACGGCTTCCACAGCGGCCGCAGCTTCTCCTGGCCCCCGACGTCCCAGAAGTGACAGCTGATGCCCCTGGAGGCCCCAGCGCCCCCCAAGCGGATCCGCTCCGTGTTGAAGCCGATGGTGGGCACCGTGTTGACGAACTCGTTGAATTTGAGTCGGTAAAGCACGGTGGTTTTACCCGCAGAGTCCAGACCGAGCATGACTATGTGCAGAGACTGGAACGAGGCCAAATTGGAGAAGCTATTCCCCATTATGGAAGAATGTGGAGATGAACATTGATTTATTGGAGCGTTATCAGTCACAAGATGGGATCCATTCCTCCTGCGCACCGTCAGTCCAAAGATAGTCCACAACCATAGACTGTAACACGCATTTGTTTTAGAGATTCATGACGCGTAAAGAGATCAGCAGAGGCAACGGCATCACCCCAGACTCACGACACAAACAGAGAGCGGGCAGAGCATCACTGCATGGATGGAGTCAGCTCAGCCACGGTCAGACACAAACACGCCTGAAGGGAACGGACGAACGGACGGGAGCAGATTCCTGCAGAGCGGAGGGCGCAGGTGCAGAGACGCGCAGGAAACAGGACTTCCTCCCGACGCATCGACGCACCGCTGCAGTAAAGGAGACGTCTGCTTGGGTTATCTGGGTTTGTTTCAAGACTGTAAATGTTCTCGATGCTCAGTCGGTAAAGCATGAGACTTTTAATCTCAGGGCCGTGGGTGAATTCCTCTATTGTGAGATCAATAAAGTTTATCTTATCTTAAATCTTTGCCTCTGTTATGCTGGGAAACGGTTCATTGCATCCATTATAGTGTAAGATATTTCCCTATAAATACACTTCAGCGCATTAAAACTCAACATTAAATCTTAAAAGTCCTGACAGTGAGTAGTTTTCAATAAGTTAGTCTTTTATTGTGAAGGGTCGTTTGGTCTAGTTTCCTCTGCGCAGACTGGTGATTTACAGCCGTGTTCTCTTACTATTGTGCAAACAGAGCAGATCTGTTTTCACAATAGAAAGAGGATCCAGGTTTTATTAGATCCACAACTTGAGTCTCTCTGAAATACCTCAGTCCTGATTCTGCTGCTTCTCCCTGCGTTGACTTCTACTTGTCTCTCCCTGCTGTATACTCTTAAACCCTGCTGTTACCTTCCTGTTGACCTGCAAAGGAAAAACAAACGCTATAGTTTTACTTTTTTAATGTTGAATAATGTTAGTGTGCAGCACAGTTACTCACAACAAAAGCAGCAAATGTTTACATAAAAACATACATTCAGAATGATTAGTTTTCATCTTAACACAGACACAATAATTTAATCCATTTTAACACAAACAAATACTTGGTATTGCTGGCGTTTTGTGCTTTTGATAGCTTTAAATTTAAATTTGAAAAAGGCCAATGCGTAGACTTTATACAAACATCCATCCGGCTAACAAACACATTTCCCCAGTTCTCCAAACACCATGTTATTACAAACCTCACATACATTGCATTAGTGCGAAAGCTGCCATTCACAAATGAACTTCACAAACTGGAAGGTTGAGAACAGCTGGCAGTGTTGATATGTAGTGCTTTCATTCTGTCAGACCCTGATCTAACCCTGTGCACGAGGAACAAAAACATACAACAGGAAATAAAACGCACACAGTTAAAACCATTGAGCAGAAAGATCTTTGGAAACACAAAGAAATAACCACTGAATTATACATGTTCACATTTACAAAAGGCTTATTCATCTATAGAGGAATCTGTTATATATTTCTTATGTTCTGTCTTCATGAGCTCCTCAGCCTGTCATCTATAAATTATAAAGTGGTTTTGCACACATCCAAATGTTAATACATGTCGTGACTAAACGTACAATCGTCAAACGTCCCACGTGACAGCAGTAAAAGTGTGTTCCTCAGTTTCATCTTTACATCTATATTTACAAACATATCTATTCAATATCTCAATATTCATATTACATCAATATACAGGAATACATGATACACATCCCACGTGGTAAAGAAAATACATTCCATCACGTGGTGAGGACACACATACACACGCTCTGCCATGATGTCTCTGTCCACAAGGGGGCAGCCTCCGGAGTCGCAGTACTTTACAAAAGGCTGGAGAAGTTTCACTTTTCACTCTCACTCAACTAAAGGAGTTCAAAAATGCACAGATGACAAATGAGAACACGGCGACCTCACACACGGCTAAACAAAAACAAATCCATTCTGCACCGACCTCTGCAGTGGCCGAGCTTCACACAAAACAAACTAGTGTTAGGCTACATCTAAAATACATGACAACACTGAGGAGTGTGTAGGAATCATCAGTTGTGTGCTTGTGTAAGTGCAGTGTGTGTGTCTCAGAGCATCCCATCCAGGTTCTCCTCTGCGCTCTGCTTGTCCTTACTGCTGCTGTCTGTCGGGTTGTACTTGTTGTGGAAGTCTCTCAGGATGGTCACAACGTCATGGTGACCAAAGTGCACCGCCTCGTCCATCGGAGTGTTGCCCCACCTGGAACAAGCACACAGTGAGGAGCCAGAGGGAGGAGCCAGAGGGAGGAGCCAGAGGGAGGAGCCAGAGGGAGGAGTCAGAGGGAGGAGTCAGAGTGAGGAGTCAGAGGGAGGAGTCAGAGGGAGGAGTCAGAGGGAGGAGTCAGAGGGAGGAGTCAGAGTGAGGAGTCAGAGGGAGGAGTCAGAGTGAGGAGTCAGAGTGAGGAGTCAGAGTGAGGAGTCAGAGGGAGGAGTCAGAGGGAGGAGTCAGAGTGAGGAGTCAGAGGGAGGAGCCAGAGTGAGGAGTCAGAGGGAGGAGTCAGAGTGAGGAGTCAGAGGGAGGAGCCAGAGTGAGGAGTCAGAGGGAGGAGTCAGAGGGAGGAGTCAGAGTGAGGAGTCAGAGGGAGGAGTCAGAGGGAGGAGTCAGAGGGAGGAGCCAGAAGCCCAGTCCCAATACTCGCACTTCCACCCTCGCGCCCCTCATTTGCGCGTTCTTTGGCCCCGCCCCCTTTGCGCCCCTGATCCACACTTCGCCGTAGCCTGCATCTATGCGGACTCTGGCGAAGGATATTGCCCATAATTCTTTGCGGTACACACCAAAACGCCGGGAAAATGCATTTCAATCTAAGTTTTGAATTATATGCTGTATGTGTGTAAATACATTTTGCTATGTTCCTTGGATAGAAGCATAAACGTCTAATTGATGAATTCTATGCAAACAATAATTACTTTTTTAATCCAAGCTTTCATTTGATATTCAATTTAAACTTTACACTTCTACAATAAACTTTGGATGTATAAAAACAGTTAGTGACCCACATTTAACTTAAAATTATACAGCTATCTCAAATTACGAATAACCAATATACATGTATTTTAACGTGTGTGGAGCAACTCATTTTGTTTCTCACAGGGTCTGACAAAATGACCTTAAAATGTATAAAGTTTAGGTCTGAAAATGACCATCTCCTGACGAGTCGATGACGTATCCTGCACTCAGTGAGCACTGTCCCAATTCCACTTCCGCTGCACACTCAAACCCTTGTGTGCACTTCAAACAAATGCACACTTCGTAGAGGAGGGTAGGGTGCAGTGTGGGTATTGGGATTGGGCCAGAGTGAGGAGCCAGAGGGAGGAGCCAGAGGGAGGAGCCAGAGGGAGGAGCCAGAGGGAGGAGCCAGAGTGAGGAGCCAGAGTGAGGAGCCAGAGGGAGGAGCCAGAGTGAGGAGCCAGAGTGAGGAGCCAGAGGGAGGAGCCAGAGTGAGGAGCCAGAGTGAGGAGCCAGAGGGAGGAGCCAGAGGGAGGAGCCAGAGTGAGGAGCCAGAGGGAGGAGCCAGAGTGAGGAGCCAGAGTGAGGAGTCAGAGGGAGGAGCCAGAGGGAGGAGCCAGAGTGAGGAGCCAGAGTGAGGAGTCAGAGGGAGGAGCCAGAGGGAGGAGCCAGAGGGAGGAGCCAGAGTGAGGAGTCAGAGGGAGGAGTCAGAGTGAGGAGTCAGAGTGAGGAGCCAGAGGGAGGAGCCAGAGTGAGGAGCCAGAGGGAGGAGCCAGAGGGAGGAGTCAGAGGGAGGAGCCAGAGGGAGGAGCCAGAGGGAGGAGTCAGAGGGAGGAGCCAGAGGGAGGAGCCAGAGGGAGGAGCCAGAGTGAGGAGTCAGAGGGAGGAGTCAGAGTGAGGAGTCAGAGGGAGGAGCCAGAGTGAGGAGTCAGAGTGAGGAGCCAGAGTGAGGAGTCAGAGGGAGGAGTCAGAGGGATGAGTCAGAGGGAGGAGCCAGAGGGAGGAGCCAGAGTGAGGAGTCAGAGGGAGGAGCCAGAGTGAGGAGCCAGAGGGAGGAGCCAGAGTGAGGAGTCAGAGGGAGGAGCCAGAGTGAGGAGTCAGAGGGAGGAGCCAGAGTGAGGAGCCAGAGTGAGGAGTCAGAGGGAGGAGCCAGAGTGAGGAGTCAGAGGGAGGAGTCAGAGGGAGGAGTCAGAGGGAGGAGCCAGAGTGAGGAGTCAGAGGGAGGAGCCAGAGGGAGGAGCCAGAGTGAGGAGTCAGAGGGAGGAGTCAGAGTGAGGAGTCAGAGGGAGGAGCCAGAGTGAGGAGTCAGAGTGAGGAGTCAGAGTGAGGAGTCAGAGGGAGGAGCCAGAGGGAGGAGCCAGAGTGAGGAGTCAGAGGGAGGAGCCAGAGTGAGGAGTCAGAGGGAGGAGCCAGAGTGAGGAGTCAGAGGGAGGAGTCAGAGGGAGGAGTCAGAGGGAGGAGCCAGAGGGAGGAGTCAGAGGGAGGAGCCAGAGTGAGGAGTCAGAGGGAGGAGCCAGAGTGAGGAGTCAGAGGGAGGAGCCAGAGTGAGGAGTCAGAGGGAGGAGCCAGAGTGAGGAGTCAGAGGGAGGAGTCAGAGGGAGGAGTCAGAGGGAGGAGCCAGAGTGAGGAGTCAGAGGGAGGAGCCAGAGGGAGGAGCCAGAGTGAGGAGTCAGAGTGAGGAGTCAGAGGGAGGAGCCAGAGTGAGGAGTCAGAGGGAGGAGCCAGAGGGAGGAGCCAGAGTGAGGAGTCAGAGTGAGGAGTCAGAGGGAGGAGCCAGAGTGAGGAGTCAGAGGGAGGAGCCAGAGTGAGGAGCCAGAGTGAGGAGCCAGAGGGAGGAGCCAGAGGGAGGAGCCAGAGGGAGGAGCCAGAGGGAAGAGTCAGAGGGAGGAGCCAGAGGGAGGAGCCAGAGGGAGGAGCCAGAGGGAGGAGCCAGAGTGAGGAGTCAGAGGGAGGAGCCAGAGTGAGGAGTCAGAGGGAGGAGCCAGAGGGAGGAGCCAGAGTGAGGAGTCAGAGGGAGGAGCCAGAGTGAGGAGTCAGAGGGAGGAGTCAGAGGGAGGAGTCAGAGTGAGGAGTCAGAGGGAGGAGCCAGAGTGAGGAGCCAGAGTGAGGAGCCAGAGGGAGGAGTCAGAGGGAGGAGTCAGAGTGAGGAGTCAGAGGGAGGAGTCAGAGGGAGGAGCCAGAGTGAGGAGCCAGAGGGAGGAGTCAGAGGGAGGAGTCAGAGTGAGGAGTCAGAGGGAGGAGCCAGAGGGAGGAGCCAGAGTGAGGAGTCAGAGGGAGGAGCCAGAGGGAGGAGCCAGAGGGAGGAGTCAGAGGGAGGAGTCAGAGTGAGGAGTAAGAGGGAGGAGTCAGAGGGAGGAGCCAGAGGGAGGAGTCAGAGGGAGGAGTCAGAGGGAGGAGCCAGAGTGAGGAGCCAGAGGGAGGAGTCAGAGGGAGGAGTCAGAGGGAGGAGCCAGAGGGAGGAGCCAGAGGGAGGAGTCAGAGGGAGGAGCCAGAGTGAGGAGCCAGAGTGAGGAGTCAGAGGGAGGAGTCAGAGGGAGGAGTCAGAGTGAGGAGCCAGAGTGAGGAGCCAGAGGGAGGAGTCAGAGTGAGGAGCCAGAGTGAGGAGCCAGAGGGAGGAGCCAGAGGGAGGAGCCAGAGGGAGGTCCGCCTGTGTCTGTGTGAGATGGACAGCGTAGGAACATAAGTCATAAAAGCAGAACCAACCTGTCTTTGGGCACAGGGTTGACCTTACAGGCCTCTAACAGGAAGCGCACAACCTCTCCATGACCTGCAACACACATGTTCAGAGTGAGCTAACACATGTTCAGAGTGAGCTAACACATGTTCAGAGTGAGCTAACACATGTTCAGAGTGAGCTAACACATGTTCAGAGTGAGCTCACACATGTTCAGAGTGAGCTAACACATGTTCAGAGTGAGTTACACACACATGTTCAGAGTGAGCTAACACATGTTCAGAGTGAGCTAACACATGTTCAGAGTGAGCTAACACATGTTCAGAGTGAGTTACACATGTTCAGAGTGAGTTACACATGTTCAGAGTGAGTTACACATGTTCAGAGTGAGTTACACATGTTCAGAGTGAGCTCACACATGTTCAGAGTGAGCTAACACATGTTCAGAGTGAGTTACACACACATGTTCAGAGTGAGCTAACACACATGTTCAGAGTGAGCTAACACATGTTCAGAGTGAGCTCACACATGTTCAGAGTGAGCTCACACATGTTCAGAGTGAGCTAACACATGTTCAGAGTGAGCTAACACATGTTCAGAGTGAGTTACACACACATGTTCAGAGTGAGCTAACACATGTTCAGAGTGAGCTAACACATGTTCAGAGTGAGCTCACACATGTTCAGAGTGAGCTAACACATGTTCAGAGTGAGCTCACACATGTTCAGAGTGAGCTAACACATGTTCAGAGTGAGCTCACACATGTTCAGAGTGAGCTCACACATGTTCAGAGTGAGCTAACACATGTTCAGAGTGAGCTAACACATGTTCAGAGTGAGCTAACACATGTTCAGAGTGAGCTCACACATGTTCAGAGTGAGCTCACACATGTTCAGAGTGAGCTAACACATGTTCAGAGTGAGCTAACACATGTTCAGAGTGAGCTAACACATGTTCAGAGTGAGCTAACACATGTTCAGAGTGAGCTAACACATATAAGACTATTACTATGTGGCTTTGAGTAACTGTTTTATCCGCATCATGTGCTACGTACATGTGACGTATGGCTGTACTTAATACATGAAAAATACATTAACCTTTTATATCATTATTTATTTATTTTGGGAACAACAGAAAGACAATTGTATCTGGATTATGACACTGTACCTTCAGCAGCAGCCACATGAAGAGCTGTCCTGGAGTCGTAGTCTCTCTGCTCCATGTCCATGGAGGACAGAGCAAACCTGCAGCACCACAAACAGATCATCACACACTGCACTAACTCTCTGTTACCCACAGAAGCAAGAGCAAACCTTCTCAGAGCAGACACATCCCCAGTGTAGGCAGCGAACAGCAGGTTTATAACAGACTTCACCTAAGACCAGATCAAAGAGGACAACTGCTCAATACACAAGACCAATGTTTTATATTCTCTAAATCTGCAATAACAACTTGAGAGCAGGACATTTAGATGTTTTCCTAAAATGACTCTCACCCTCTGGTCTCCTCCCTCTCGACGAGGATCCAGCTTCTTTGCAAAGTGCCTCAGATTGTCATAGTTATGGAAGTTACAGAGAGACACCAGATCCTAAAAGTAGAAAATAGATGTATATATATGTAAATATAAATACAGACACGTGACTTAAATGAATACTTATGAACTATGCTGACCACACAGTCTTATATCTATAATAAAAATGTCTTTACCGTGCAGAACTGGATGCCTCTCACACTATTGCCCAGTTTGTCCAGAGGTGGAGACCAGCACATGATGCCCATGACGTTTGGAACTACCAGCAGAATGCCACCAGCCACCCCGGATTTAGCCGGCAGCCCGACCTGTGGGAGGGGCCATATGATTCACTGCTGTCACTGCAACAACCACACTCAGGACCAAGTCACTTACGTGAAAAGCAAACTGCCCTGAGAAGTCGTACATGCCGCAGGAATGCATCAGGCTCAAAGTATTCCTCACCGCCTCCGGGCTCAGCACACGCTCTCCTGTGATTGGACAGAAGCCCCCGTTGGCCAGTGTGGCGGCCATGACACTAGCGCTCTCACAGGTCACCTCGATGGAGCAAAGCTGAGGGCGACACATACACTGCATAAGTACAGCCACAACTGAAGAGTATAGACTGAAACCAGGTCTGAAAGGTTTACTTGGAAATAGAAGTCCAGAATCGATGTCATGTCTGTTCCCTCTGGAAAACACTGTAAAAACACGGTATTAGTATATAAGTATATATAGTATATACGTGTACAAGTGTTACACAAACTGTGGATACATCATTAACCCTTAAATGTTCACTACTTTTTTATCATTGGCCTTTACAAAATGTGTGAGATGCAGTTTGAAGTAAATAGAGCTGCAACTAACGATTATTTTGTAACCGATTAATCTATCGATTTACGATTAATCGAGTAATCGCTTGGCTGTGAATTGTGTAGAAAAAAAATATTTTTTCATCACAAAAAGCTAAAGTGGCAACACTCGAGGACGTATTGAGGCGTAAACTTAAAGTAAATGTTTGTAACAGGCTCTTTGTGCTAATTCTGCTCTGATTGGATGAGACAGACAGATATTCATGAAATTATAAAAACAAAGTCGGTTTTAATCAAAAATACTACATTTTCATGTCATTTTTGCTCTGTTTGAGTCCGTGTGAACCAGAAAACGATTAATCGATTACTAAAATAGTTGTCGACTATTTCAATAATCGATTAGTCGTCGATTAATCGATTAGTTGTTTCAGCCCTAGAAGTAAAACATAGTAAAGTAGTTTTCAGTTCCAAGCTTCAGGTCGATAAAGTGACTCAAAAAGGATCCAACAAATAGTTGAAGAAACCATTAAAGGGTCGAGACTCGTGCAGTAGTTTGTTACCTTCTTCTCTTTCAGGTAGTAGCCGATAGCAAAGTTTCTGTCTCCAGACTCTCTCTCTGACTGGAACCTGTTACAGAAAAGAACTCACAATGACCCCACTGTCCAGAGACCCCACACAGACTCCACAGACTCCAGACTCCACACAGACCCTACACAGACTCCACACAGACCCTACACAGACCCCACACAGACCCCACACAGACTCCACAGACCCCACACAGACCCCACACAGACTCCACAGACCCCACACAGACTCCACAGACTCCACACAGACTCCACAGACTCCACACAGACTCCACAGACTCCACACAGACCCCACACAGACTCCACACAGACCCCACACAGACCCCACACAGACTCCACAGACCCCACACAGACCCCACACAGACTCCACAGACCCCACAGACTCCACACAGACTCCACACAGACCCCACACAGACCCCACACAGACTCCACACAGACCCCACACAGACCCCACACAGACCCCACACAGACTCCACACAGACCCCACAGACCCCACACAGACCCCACACAGACCCCACACAGACTCCACAGACCCCACACAGACTCCACACAGACCCCACAGAGACTCAACACAGACTCAACACAGACCCCACAGACCCCACAGACCCCACAGACCCCACACAGACCCCACACAGACTCCACAGACCCCACACAGACCCCACACAGACTCCACAGACCCCACACAGACTCCACACAGACCCCACAGAGACTCAACACAGACTCAACACAGACCCCACGGACTCCACACAGACCCCACACAGACTCCACAGACTCCACACAGACCCCACACAGACCCTACACAGACCCCACACAGACCCTACACAGACTCCACAGACCCCACACAGACCCCACACAGACCCCTCAGAGACTCAACACAGACTCCACACAGACCCCACACAGACTCCACAGACTCCACACAGACCCCACACAGACCCTACACAGACCCCACACAGACCCCACACAGACTCCACAGACCCTACACAGACCCCACACAGACTCCACAGACTCCACACAGACCCCACACAGACCCCACACAGACTCCACAGACCCCACACAGACCCCACACAGACCCCACACAGACTCCACACAGACCCCACAGACCCCACACAGACCCCACACAGACCCCACACAGACTCCACAGACCCCACACAGACTCCACACAGACCCCACAGAGACTCAACACAGACTCAACACAGACCCCACAGACCCCACAGACCCCACAGACCCCACACAGACCCCACACAGACTCCACAGACCCCACACAGACCCCACACAGACTCCACAGACCCCACACAGACTCCACACAGACCCCACAGAGACTCAACACAGACTCAACACAGACCCCACGGACTCCACACAGACCCCACACAGACTCCACAGACTCCACACAGACCCCACACAGACCCTACACAGACCCCACACAGACCCTACACAGACTCCACAGACCCCACACAGACCCCACACAGACCCCTCAGAGACTCAACACAGACTCCACACAGACCCCACACAGACTCCACAGACTCCACACAGACCCCACACAGACCCTACACAGACCCCACACAGACCCTACACAGACTCCACAGACCCCACACAGACCCCACACAGACCCCTCAGAGACTCAACACAGACTCCACACAGACCCCACACAGACTCCACAGACTCAACACAGAGACCCCACACAGACCCCACACAGACTCCACAGACCCCACAGAAACCCCACACAGACCCCACACAGACCCCACAGAGACCCCACACAGACCCCACACAGACCCCACACAGACCCCACACAGACCCCACAGAGACCCCACACAGACTCACGTGGCATTGCTGAAGCCCACGTACTCGTTTCCAGCCAGTTTGTTCATGAAGTTCATAACCTGTGAAATATAAACACAAAACACTGTCAGAGCCTTTGTTCTGCTGTATAATTTATCACTATTATAACGTTTAAAGAGACATTACTCACATAATCAAACTTCTCAGCGTTACTGGCCCCTTGCTGAAATACAAACAGAAGATTAGTGTTATAAGCCGCATGATATTCTTTTAGTCAAACTAGCACAAGCACTAAGTCTAGTCAGTCTATGTAATCACAGATCTACAAACAGAGACTTATATTGACACCATTACAGATTTTCAAACAGTTATATTTAGATCAACGTAAAGACCATTAATAAACCCATTCATGAAACTGGATGGATTAGAATTAAAAGGTGTGCTGTCTGAAGATGAAGAGGTGAGATTGAAATGTTAATACCTATAAGAAATACAAAACAAATCAGAAAGAATCAAGTGTGGACTATCCTCATTAGAGTGGAGGACTTAGGTCAACGGTGAACTCAAGATATATTATATACAGAAGAGTAAACACTCAACTTCTTGCATTTTTCTTTTAGAAATGTAACAAAGACAACAAATAATGACATTAAATAGTAGAAATAAAACATCTAAAACATTGTTAGAATAACTTCTGTCTTAATACATGAACTTTAATGAAAATTAGACTGTGTCGTTACAACACGGGTCAAATCCAATTAGGAAAAATGAAGCATGGTTTTGAAGCTGCTTTGAGTTGAGTGCACTGTTTATGTCCATAAACAGTATTGGACAATGCAAGTTATTAAGGCTAAAGTTGGTTACAGTCCAGACCAAAGAGGGAAAAGGATTAAAAAAGGAAATTACCAACGTCATTGACCTGTTGATGTGGTCATAATTTCCCACAGATCCTAATGCTGGAAAATATGCAACAACACATCAAACCACACAACGAGCCTCAAAAGTACAACAGAAACAGGAAAGGCTTGAAAAGAGCATGGGCACATGCACTGAGCCCTGAGGGACGCCACGCTTCCAACACGTTTAAATACTGCATTCACTTCTCAGAAACAGACCTGTGCAGGAAAGTTGAAGAAGTCTATTTGTAAAACATGCATTTCTATTTTAAAACAAACGAGTGTACTTGAAATCTGTTTTGTAGTTCTACGAAATGTACAAAAAACAAAAAGATTCCCGTCACTACTGTAATTTAGAACAGTTCAGTCATAATCAAATGATGTCAGCGGGTGGCGCTGTTGTATAAAAATAATTATAAAACAGAATAGGTTTGAAGGACGTGCAGGTATCAGATTTGTCTAATCTGTAAATGTATTTGACCGGACGTCGCCTCCGCCCACGCCGCTCTCAGCCGCACAAATCCCACGATTATCTATGGGCCTTAATCTGCATTCACTAATCTGCATCAAACAAGTTTTATTTCACATCAAGTTTGTCTAAGTCACCAGTCGGCACATATCCAAAATGCACAATCCTTTATGCAGTTGTTTTCTCAAACTCAAAGATTCTATTTGGATCCAAAACACAAAGACACATACCTTAATGAGAGAGGTACAGACGATAGCTCCAGCATTAACCATCGGGTTGTGTGGCTTGTCTGTGGAGGTAAAGGGCAGTCAATCATTCACTATTCATGTTATATAATTTAATTAAAGTGAATATACTGCAGATAAAGCATGAAAACTGACCATCTTCATCAAGGAAGAGCTTGTTGAAGCGCAGACCACTGGGCTCTTTGCCGATGAAGCGGTGGACATACTCTGTGCCGTGGTCGTGGACGGCGATGGCGTATTTCAGAGGCTTCACACACGACTGAAGACAGAAGGGAACTTTGGTGTCTCCAACTGTGTGTCTAGACGAAACATAAACCAAAGTATTAACAGTGGAATTAATCAAACCTTTACCAACCCCCCACCAGGTATGTTTAAATAAACATGGGCTATACACATGACTGAAAATATCCAGAAGGCAAGATATTAGAGAATTATGGCATCAGATTACCACTGATTGGGACATATTTGTTCCAACGAACCCTCTGTGTGGAGAATGTGAAAGTGAAAGTACCTCTGTCCGTCCACAGTGCACAGAGCCACAGCCCACAGGTCCGAGCTGAAGCGGGCCAACTGGGGGATGTAGTCGGCCACCTGCAGACAGAGAGGTGTGAGATGTCTCTGGAGACACATGTGTGTGATGTACACCTGTCCCACCTGTCCTCCAGACATCGCTTTGGCGTTGTCATATAGTTCATCAATGTGGTTACAGAAAGGCAGGAAGTCTGGAATGACAAACTTCTTCCTAAAGGCTTGGGTGAGCAGCACAATGTTGCTCTGAACACATCTAAAAGAAAAGATACATTAACATCAGGGATTACCAGGAAAAACTCCATTCAAGAGAAACCATGAACACAATTATATGAGATCTTAAAACACGCTTGAGGAAATGTTTAAGTTTATTTTTTAAACTTTAAACTGTCATTATGAGAAGAATGCAGATGGGTGAACGCACTTCTTGAAGAGGTGGCGGTCCAGAGTTCCATCCGACGTGGTCTTCACCGTCAGCTTGAGCATCTCCATACATTCTTTGAGTCGGGGGTCTCCGGTCCGCAGCCCCGTGGATTTAAGAGCCTGCACACAACAGCAAGTTCAGCTTGTCTTCAGAGCAGGGGTGTCAAAGTCAAGGTCCGGGAGCCAGATCCGGCCCACGGATGAATCATCTTGGCCCCGGGATGATATTTGATTATTATTAAAACCGGTAGAACATATTGGATTATTGTTTCGTTCAGAACGTATGTTTTCACTTTGAAGGAAGTTTATTTTTGTCTGTGGGCTGTTGAAAAATGTTTTGAGTAAGTAATATTTATTCATATCGCGCCTTTTTTTTTTCTTTTCTTTTTTTTTTCAATTTTTTTTTTAATCAATACTTAATATATGGCTACATTACGCATCTCCATTCCATTTATCATGAAATAAAGTGTATTTTTTCACTTAAATTTTTTCTTTTATTTATGGCATAAATTGGCATATGGTATATTTCTGACCAATATATCGATAATTGTCATACTGTGATAAAATAGTTATCGTGATATCATTGTTATCGTGAGCCTTGTATCGTGTATCGTATCGTGAGGTACCCTTAGGTTCTCACCCCTACTCACAGTGGTGAACTTGTGAGCGGGGATCTTCTCCTGTCCTTCAGCGATGGTGTAGAAGAGCAGGTCCTCCAGACTGGGCAGGATCCCGGCCTTTCTTCTCCTGCACAGCACACACAGACATACAGTGAGTGAGATGGAGCAGACATGGAGGTTTCTCACATGTAAGGTCCTGCTTCACTCAAACACACAGATAATGGACTTTCAAACGTCTTTGAGGGGGTGGAATCATAATCCTATCGGGGTTTGTATGTTATTCTTGAGGGTTATTGTTTTCATGTGATTGTTTCTTACTCACTTATGTATTGAGTGGGATCTTTTTAACTTTCTAGAGTAGGTTAGATCTGCAATGACATGTACGCCTGACCACATCCAGATCGGACAAAGGCAAGACGTCTACCATTTGAGAATTACCGAGGGGAAAAGACAGCTGCACTGGAACTACTAGATTAAAAATGGGGAGAGGGAGGCTCACTCATAGTTCCCTAACCCAGGCAGAAGATTAGATTTTTAATATGCATCCAATAAAATAGTTTGAAGTTTGTGTGTATTGTGAGAGGGGGCAGGGGTCATATCAAAGTTTACTAACCTCTAATGAAACCTTTCCAATCGCAGATATACTGAACACCTGTGTTTATGATTATTTTGATGTGTGTGAAATAAATAATCTCAAACTATGATTCCTCTGGACTCACCACCTGCAGGAGGATCAGTGAGGGGCTGGTGCTGTGTGCACTGCCCTGACCCAGAAATGGATTAAGGGGAAGAATATGGATGGATGATTCCAAAGAAGTGAGTTGATCTTTTAGTGTGAGGACGTTTCACTGTTATCAACACAAAGCTGCTGAGGACTCCTTCGTGAAGGAGTCCTCAGCAGCTTCACTCAGAGAAGTCATAACACTAGAACTCCCAGAGCAGTCATTTTGACGGCATTTAGTTTTGAACGCGCTGTCAGCTACATTAGCATTAGCATAGTCACTATTGATCAAATTGTTTTTTCCTGTATTTCAGTTACATTCAACAGTTTTTTGCACACGTTTGAAAAGTGAATGAAGGTAAAACCTTTGTGCACTAACTCACTTTTTTGGGCTAATTTCTCAGAATTCTATTTGTTTGAACAAAGGCAGTCAAATTGACGGCTCTGGGAGTTGTGGTAGTTTCATCATTCTGGGAGTTCTAGTGTTAAGGAGGAGGTTAGTGCTCTGGAGGCTCGACTGTTAAAGAAGAAAGGCCTTACACTCACACTTACCTGCTGCTATGCATTATGGGACACATCCTCTACAGTAATTACACGGATAGATCGTTAAAGAGTCAGACGGAGCAGGTCCCACTCTGGAAATGAAGAGTCTGTAGCCTCCAGCTCCATCAGAATCTCACACTGTTATTGTGGCGCAGTTACATGCGGCTAACATGGCCACACAGACAACCATTCACTCCAGGGTTTCAGGAAAACATAGACATGCATCGTTTTGACACGTCCCCAAACTGTCCCTAGCTATTGTTCATGTGTGTTTGATTCTCAGATCCGAGTTAAGCCTAATCCTGATGGTTCAGGGCTATACAAGAATACAATAAATTGAATTGAATCTATGTTTTTGAGTCTTATTACTGACTATTTTCTGGTTGAATGTGGTTCTGATTAATGATTCAGTGGAGCAGTCGGATGGGAGCTGAGGGCTGGGACAGGAGGTGCAGCTGCCGGGGGGGGTGGGGGGGGGGTTAAAGGTGAAGCAGAAGCTCTGGACTGGAGAGAGAAAAGCCAGTCTCAGGGAGGTGTCAGCGCAAACATCTACTGGAGACATCTAGAACTACTGAGAAACCAAAGCATACTTACAACAAAGGCAAACCAACAACAGCAAGAGAACACAGGAATAAACGCACATTAGTGAGAGGTACACACATCACTCCCGACAGAGCTACACACATCACTCCCGACAGAGCTACACACATCACTCCCGACAGAGGTACACACATCACTCCCGACAGAGCTACACACATCACTCCCGACAGAGCTACACACATCACTCCCGACAGAGCTACACACATCACTCCCGACAGAGGTACACACATCACTCCCGACAGAGGTACACACATCACTCCCGACAGAGCTACACACATCACTCACTCCCGACAGAGCTACACACATCACTCCCGACAGAGCTACACACATCACTCCCGACAGAGGTACACACATCACTCCCGACAGAGGTACACACATCACTCCCGACAGAGCTACACACATCACTCCCGACAGAGCTACACACATCACTCCCGACAGAGGTACACACATCACTCCCGACAGAGCTACACACATCACTCCCGACAGAGCTACACACATCACTCCCGACAGAGCTACACACAGTGCTCAGCAACTTAAGCGGTGTCTGTGCACAATCTTCCTGTAAGAATGTAAATCATCATAAGTTATTTACATTAATAACATGCAGTGACTAGATACAGATTATATGTTTTCTAAAATAACATAAAACATTGTGTCACAAAATCTGTCCAGAATCAAGTCAAAACTGTTTCAGAATCCATGTCGTCAGCTCCTGAATGAGTCTGGTTTGACTAAAGTGGCTCTTTTTTCCACCCCCCTGGATGAGAGCGTCGTGAGTGAGCGAGTAAATACCATGTGCATGAACCATGTGTGTCCTTGTGCTGACATTAATTACGCCGTTTATGATAATTAACATGACACTATGTTACGGCCACTCGCTGAAGTAGGAGTTCCCATCAGCGGCGTGACAGGATTGTGCTGACATGTGTTTAACTGTGTGTGAAGAGTTTTAAAGATGTCAAGGCGGCAGCTCGCGGGGATGTGGTGCTGTGTGTGGTGTTGTGTTGCCAAAGCTCAGCCTGTTCTGACTCACGAGGCTGCAGCGGCTGGATCTGTGCCAGCAGCTTCTCATGTGGAACCACTGCAAAATGTGACGGGAGGGAAGCTGAGATTTGAGCATTATCCAGATTAAGAAAACAGATATTTAAAACCAGCATTGTGATATTTTGTACATGCAATTACATCGAAACAGTAGAGCAAAGTGTTGTGATATTTCATTATATAATTATCAGTTTCACTTTTGTGTTTTGTCTAAATTTACTCTGGTTATTCACATCTGAGGTTTGTGTTACTAACAGAGGTCTGTTGCATTTGAATGATTTAAACTAAAGTTCATGTGAGAAGTCAGACAATAATTATGTCTTCTGTCCTGAATGTTCAAGGATAAAGTTTTTGCACTTCAGATAATGTGCAGACCATAATCTTCTTATTTTTCTCCATGTTTGTAATGTCTTTCAATAATATGAGAGACACGAATTGCGATAATATTGAATTGTGGCCCAAATATTGTCACATTTTTGCCAACCACTATTTGAAACAGTCCACAGCCCCAGACCTGTGTGGACTCTAGGCTCCTCGTCACAGCTCATGGAGAGCCATTCCTGACAGCTACATAATACAGTTATTACAGCGTCCATGTGAGGAGGCTCTTTCTGCTGGAATAAAAACAGCAGTTAGGTAATAAAGCTCTGTTGGTGAAAACATGACAGGGTAGAATGGATGAGCCAGAGCTGAGCCTACGTCAGACTGTGTACTGAGTCCTGTCCTGAGTCCTGTCCTGAGTCCTGTCCTGAGTCCTGTCCTGAGTCCTGTCCTGAGTCCTGTCCTGAGTCCTGTCCTGAGTCCTGTCCAGAGTCCTGTCCTGAGTCCTGTCCAGAGTCCTGCCCAGAGTCCTGTCCAGAGTCCTGTCCAGAGTCCTGTCCAGAGTCCTGTCCTGAGTCCTGTCCAGAGTCCTGTCCAGAGTCCTGTCCTGAGTCCTGTCCTGAGTCCTGTCCTGAGTCCTGTCCTGAGTCCTGTCCTGAGTCCTGTCCAGAGTCCTGTCCAGAGTCCTGTCCAGAGTCCTGTCCAGAGTCCTGTCCAGAGTCCTGTCCAGAGTCCTGTCCTGAGTCCTGTCCAGAGTCCTGTCCAGAGTCCTGTCCAGAGTCCTGTCCAGAGTCCTGTCCAGAGTCCTGTCCTGAGTCCTGTCCAGAGTCCTGCCCAGAGTCCTGTCCAGAGTCCTGCCCAGAGTCCTGTCCAGAGTCCTGTCCAGAGTCCTGTCCAGAGTGCTGTCCAGAGTCCTGTCCAGAGTCCTGTCCTGAGTCCTGTCCAGAGTCCTGTCCTGAGTCCTGTCCTGAGTCCTGTCCAGAGTCCTGTCCAGAGTGCTGTCCAGAGTCCTGTCCTGAGTCCTGTCCTGAGTCCTGTCCTGAGTCCTGTCCTGAGTCCTGTCCTGAGTCCAGTCCTGAGTCCTGTCCTGAGTCCTGTCCAGAGACCTGTCCTGAGTCCTGTCCTGAGTCCTGTCCAGAGTCCTGTCCTGAGTCCTGTCCTGAGTCCTGTCCTGAGTCCAGTCCTGAGTCCTGTCCTGAGTCCTGTCCAGAGTCCTGTCCTGAGTCCTGTCCTGAGTCCAGTCCTGAGTCCTGTCCTGAGTCCTGTCCTGAGTCCTGTCCTGAGTCCTGTCCTGAGTCCTGTCCTGAGTCCTGTCCTGAGTCCTGTCCTGAGTCCTGTCCTGAGTCCAGTCCTGAGTCCTGTCCAGAGTCCTGTCCAGAGTCCTGTCCTGAGTCCTGTCCTGAGTCCAGTCCTGAGTCCTGTCCTGAGTCCAGTCCTGAGTCCTGTCCAGAGTCCTGTCCAGAGTCCTGTCCTGAGTCCTGTCCTGAGTCCAGTCCTGAGTCCTGTCCTGAGTCCTGTCCTGAGTCCTGTCCAGAGTCCTGTCCTGAGTCCTGTCCTGAGTCCAGTCCTGAGTCCTGTCCTGAGTCCTGTCCTGAGTCCTGTCCTGAGTCCAGTCCTGAGTCCTGTCCTGAGTCCTGTCCAGAGTCCTGTCCAGAGTCCTGTCCTGAGTCCTGTCCTGAGTCCAGTCCTGAGTCCTGTCCTGAGTCCTGTCCTGAGTCCTGTCCTGAGTCCTGTCCTGAGTCCTGTCCTGAGTCCTGTCCTGAGTCCTGTCCTGAGTCCAGTCCTGAGTCCTGTCCAGAGTCCTGTCCAGAGTCCTGTCCTGAGTCCTGTCCTGAGTCCAGTCCTGAGTCCTGTCCTGAGTCCAGTCCTGAGTCCTGTCCAGAGTCCTGTCCAGAGTCCTGTCCTGAGTCCTGTCCTGAGTCCAGTCCTGAGTCCTGTCCTGAGTCCTGTCCTGAGTCCTGTCCAGAGTCCTGTCCTGAGTCCTGTCCTGAGTCCAGTCCTGAGTCCTGTCCTGAGTCCTGTCCTGAGTCCTGTCCTGAGTCCTGTCCTGAGTCCTGTCCTGAGTCCTGTCCTGAGTCCTGTCCTGAGTCCTGTCCTGAGTCCAGTCCTGAGTCCTGTCCTGAGTCCTGTCCAGAGTCCTGTCCTGAGTCCTGTCCTGAGTCCAGTCCTGAGTCCTGTCCTGAGTCCTGTCCAGAGTCCTGTCCTGAGTCCTGTCCTGAGTCCAGTCCTGAGTCCTGTCCTGAGTCCTGTCCTGAGTCCAGTCCTGAGTCCTGTCCTGAGTCCTGTCCAGAGTCCTGTCCTGAGTCCTGTCCAGAGTCCTGTCCTGAGTCCTGTCCTGAGTCCTGTCCTGAGTCCTGTCCTGAGTCCTGTCCTGAGTCCTGTCCTGAGTCCAGTCCTGAGTCCTGTCCTGAGTCCTGTCCTGAGTCCTGTCCAGAGTCCTGTCCAGAGTCCTGTCCTGAGTCCTGTCCTGAGTCCTGTCCTGAGTCCAGTCCTGAGTCCTGTCCTGAGTCCTGTCCAGAGTCCTGTCCAGAGTCCTGTCCTGAGTCCTGTCCTGAGTCCTGTCCAGAGTCCTGTCCAGAGTCCTGTCCTGAGTCCAGTCCTGAGTCCTGTCCAGAGTCCTGTCCAGAGTCCTGTCCTGAGTCCTGTCCTGAGTCCAGTCCTGAGTCCTGTCCTGAGTCCTGTCCTGAGTCCTGTCCAGAGTCCTGTCCTGAGTCCTGTCCTGAGTCCAGTCCTGAGTCCTGTCCTGAGTCCTGTCCTGAGTCCTGTCCTGAGTCCTGTCCTGAGTCCTGTCCTGAGTCCTGTCCTGAGTCCTGTCCTGAGTCCTGTCCTGAGTCCAGTCCTGAGTCCTGTCCTGAGTCCTGTCCAGAGTCCTGTCCTGAGTCCTGTCCTGAGTCCAGTCCTGAGTCCTGTCCTGAGTCCTGTCCAGAGTCCTGTCCTGAGTCCTGTCCTGAGTCCAGTCCTGAGTCCTGTCCTGAGTCCTGTCCTGAGTCCAGTCCTGAGTCCTGTCCTGAGTCCTGTCCAGAGTCCTGTCCTGAGTCCTGTCCAGAGTCCTGTCCTGAGTCCTGTCCTGAGTCCTGTCCTGAGTCCTGTCCTGAGTCCTGTCCTGAGTCCTGTCCTGAGTCCAGTCCTGAGTCCTGTCCTGAGTCCTGTCCTGAGTCCTGTCCAGAGTCCTGTCCAGAGTCCTGTCCTGAGTCCTGTCCTGAGTCCTGTCCTGAGTCCAGTCCTGAGTCCTGTCCTGAGTCCTGTCCAGAGTCCTGTCCAGAGTCCTGTCCTGAGTCCTGTCCTGAGTCCTGTCCTGAGTCCTGTCCTGAGTCCTGTCCTGAGTCCAGTCCTGAGTCCTGTCCAGAGTCCTGTCCAGAGTCCTGTCCTGAGTCCTGTCCTGAGTCCAGTCCTGAGTCCTGTCCTGAGTCCAGTCCTGAGTCCTGTCCAGAGTCCTGTCCAGAGTCCTGTCCTGAGTCCTGTCCTGAGTCCAGTCCTGAGTCCTGTCCTGAGTCCTGTCCAGAGTCCTGTCCTGAGTCCTGTCCTGAGTCCAGTCCTGAGTCCTGTCCTGAGTCCTGTCCTGAGTCCTGTCCTGAGTCCTGTCCTGAGTCCAGTCCTGAGTCCTGTCCTGAGTCCTGTCCAGAGTCCTGTCCAGAGTCCTGTCCAGAGTCCTGTCCTGAGTCCTGTCCTGAGTCCTGTCCAGAGTCCTGTCCTGAGTCCTGTCCTGAGTCCAGTCCTGAGTCCTGTCCTGAGTCCTGTCCTGAGTCCAGTCCTGAGTCCTGTCCTGAGTCCTGTCCAGAGTCCTGTCCTGAGTCCTGTCCTGAGTCCTGTCCTGAGTCCTGTCCTGAGTCCTGTCCAGAGTCCTGTCCTGAGTCCTGTCCTGAGTCCAGTCCTGAATGGGGGACAGGGTGCAGCGGATGCAGACGAGCCGCTTGAGTGATATTTCATTAATAATTAACCAGTAAATGCATATATCTGCACTAAACTAAAACACCTAATATGTAACATGTCACTCAATGCCAAACTAACCCCTTTTCAACATTTTAACCCCAGGAAACATACACAACCCCACGTGAATAGCTCCAGGGTAGTTCCAACTGTGCAAGTGCGCAGCATGGATCTATTATAATAACGCAGTCACTACCGTCTGCCTGAAGCCGAGCACAGCAGGGCTCTGGGGGTCACTTACTCCGTGGTCTGGGCGGTCTCATTGGGTCCTTCCTCTTTGGAGCTCAGACTTCTGACCCCGTGCTTCTCTGAGGGCTGTTGGAGCCTTCGCCAGCCCGCACAGAGCCTCCTGTTCTGGGCTTTCCCATTCACAGCCGCGGTGCTGAGGCTAAAGCTACGGCTAAAGCTAAAGCTAAAGCTAATGTTAGCTCTGAGGCTGGAGGCTGGAGCCGCTATCCTGCCCGTGGGCCCCTTGAGCTGGCTTTGAATCAACTCCTTCAGCGCTAACGTGGACCGAAAGTGCAGCATTTCCACGGGAGAAAGGAGAGTTGGTGAAGTGTGAAGTGTCAGAGGTCTGCGGTCCCTGGTCCTGATGCTGCAGCTCCAGGAGACTTACGGCTTCAACGGACCTATCGCACGCGCGCTCTGGGATTGGACAGCGACCGTACATCCCTGAGTCTGATTGGCCAGAGGAGCTGTCAGTCACCTCACAGGTCCCGCCGTCAGCAGCACAGAGTAGAGGTCGTTTTCTCTCCATCTCCACATCCACCCAACATCCTGTGTGTGTGTGTGTGTGTGTGTGTGTGTGTGTGTGTGTGTGTGTGCGTGTGTGTGTGTGTGTGTGTGTGTGTGTGTGTGCGTGTGTGTGTGCGTGTGTGTGTTTGTGTGTGTGTGTGTCTGTGTGTGTATGTGTGTGTGTGTGTGTGTGTGTGTGTGTGTGTGTGTGTGTCTGTGTGTGTGTGTGTGTGTGTGTGTGTGTGTGTCTGTGTGTGTGTGTGTGTGTGTCTGTGTGTGTGTGTCTGTGTGTGTGTGTGTGTGTGTGTGTCTGTGTGTGTGTGTCTGTGTGTGTGTGTGTGTGTGTGTGTGTGTGTCTGTGTGTGTGTGTGTGTGTGTGTCTGTGTGTGTGTCTGTGTGTGTGTGTGTGTAGAGAGAGCTAGCGAGTTTGTTGGCAGATATTTACTTTATTTCTCGACCCAAAATCACCAGTGGATTGCTGCAGTTAGCCTAGCCTCATGTCATAGCCGTGGTCAAGGAAAGGCAAGTTTATTTTTATAGCGCAGTTCAAGGAAACTCACATTACTTAGCAAAACAGGATATAAAGAGAATAAAAATCACAAATAATCACAGTGCAATAAAAAGGGTGAAGATAAAATCCTTGAACCTGCATTTCAACATTGTCAGAGAAGAAGCCTGTCTCACATTATCAGGAAGACTGTTCCAGATTGTACATTTTGCTTGACTATACACACAGTATGTCCATGATACCAACTCATTGTCATTCACTTTATCCGACACATGTCATTGTAAGGTTTTCATTTACTTTCATGTTGATATTTGAATCAGTGTAAATGTTTAACATTATCCAGCTCAAAGTAAAGGAACTAAAACTTTATCAAATATCACATGAGCTTTGAACCCATGGGTTGACTTAAAGGTTTACTGGAGGATTTCCCCAAATGTTATGAAAGAACCGCCCTCTCCACTGTTTAAACAAAAATCTCTGGTCTTATTGGACGAGCACGTATCACCAGAATGATTGACAGGAGGACCAATAGTCTTGATCATCCACCCGGAAATGATATCCTCTTATATACAATATGCAGTACTGTTTAAAACGACAATTGTGTCAAGCAGGGTGTTCAAAATCATGAAAACTCCTGCCACACCGTGATGTGCAGTGTTTTCCAGACCCTTGAGTGTGATCTGTGTCTGTCAGTACAAAAAATATTCTATTTCATGAAAATCCACGATTGCCACCACCATATGAAGTCAAATTATGCAAATTAGATTGATACTTTTAATTCCTACATACACTTTGTCCCATTCTTATCATTTCTCTAATTTACATAAAGCCTCTATCTCTTTTCACTTTTAATGAAACAGTGCTAAAAAGTGTTTTTAACCTGGATTTGAACATTGTTGGAGTAAAAACCTGTCTCACATTTTCTAGAAGACTGTGTATATTGTGTTTAATAAATGCCTACAATAATAATATACAGAATTAAAGTCCCTAATTTGTTTCATGGCGCCAGATGGAGTGCTGTAGTGATGCTGTAGTGACGCCTTGTGGTCGTTTTTAGGTACTACATCCCACGCTCACATAATCCTCAGCAGATGGCAGTGTTCCACATGTCTCCAGGGTTTGTCCTGAGTTTGGAACAACAGCACATGAAATACTCTCCTTTTCATTGGTAAAAAAAAAAATTCTGCAATCTCTCAAAAACATTGTATTTCATGTGAACACTACATATTGTTTCCTCATTTAATCTATTTATTTAAGACTTTGAAAAGCCGACACCAGCAGTGACTGTGGCTGTGCGAGTTTAAGGTCATTGACTTCAGATCAGTTCAGTTTTATCTTAGGGCTGTACGATGAGCACTAATCTAGAACTAATCAATTGTTGAAAATAATAAGCAACAAAGTAAGTAAGTTATCTTTATGTATAAATCACATTTTTCACAGAAGCCTCTGACCATCACTATATTCAGACTGATTGCACATGTTTTTAGTGGTAGGGGGAATGGGAGCACCCGGAGAAAACATTAGACAGGGAGAACATGCAAACTCTACACAGAAAAGGCCCTGTCTGAAGGAGGAATCGAACCCAGGACCTTCTTACTGCAAACAACTGAGTCTAAATCTCATAATTAATAATAATAATTGAAATTGAGATGTCCTCAACTAGATTGTATGATTGTATCAAAATGGCAGATCTTTTAAACATTTGTCATTTAGGCGACAACATGAAAACAATAGTGAAACGTGGGAAGCCAGGTCGCTGTATAGAAAGTACCCTGGATGGATTCAGGTTCTGCTACTTTGCCCCCAAAGAGCAGAATAGATGTAATGTTTATGTGCTATTCTGGTGGATTAATAATATAATAATAAATATGTTTTCAGGTCCACGTTCCAGGCTGTGCTGAGGACCCTAAAGTATCTGTGATAGACCAATATGTGGAGACACAGTGTTTTAAAATCACAACTGTTTGTTTGATAATTATTGTCTTGTGTGTTTTAATTTGGACTTTAGAGTCTGTAATAAAGTATTGATTTGAGTATATCCTGTAACACCAGACCAACACACACAAAGTACTTCTATGACTTGTTTTTCTCGCTTTCTGCTCTTTGCATACTTCCTGCACACAACAACACTAGTTTGACTCAACACTGGTCTTTGGTCGTACTCTGCCCACCTCTGTGGCCGATCCTCCAGTTGCATCATGGGTAATGATTCTGGCTGTTCTCTCATTGCAGGCTGGTGAGGCCATAATTCACCCACGCCCCCACACCTCCTCACAAGCCGTCAGCTTCCTGCTCCTTTCAGACCCGCCCACGCTCCCAACGGCTGCCTCCCGCCCACCAGCCCGGGATCCGCCCACCTTCCCCCGTAGCCATGGCAACACATCACCATCATCATCATCATCAGCAGCAGCAGCAGCAGCAGCAGGGACTGGAGGTGGGCACGGACAGGCCACTGAGCACAGCACTGCTTCACCCACGCCATTTTAGGACCAGAGAGAAATCCCCCAATGTTCAGAGAGGGACTGTTTTCTGCTGTAAAACACACACAGTATCTATGGGCTGTAAAGGAAGTATCTATGGGCTGTTAAGGAAGTATCTATGGGCTGTTAAGGAAGTATCTATGGGCTGTTAAGGAAGTATCTATGGGCTGTTAAGGAAGTATCTATGGGCTATTAAGGAAGTATCTATGGGCTGTTAAGGAAGTATCTATGGGCTGTTAAGGAAGTATCTATGGGCTGTTAAGGAAGTATCTATGGGCTGTTAAGGAAGTATCTATGGGCTGTTAAGGAAGTATCTATGGGCTGTTAAGGAAGTATCTATGGGCTATTAAGGAAGTATCTATGGGCTGTTAATGAAGTATCTATGGGCTGTTAAGGAAGTATCTATGGGCTAGGAAGTATCTATGGGCTAGGAAGTATCTATGGGCTGTTAAGGACGTATCTATGGGCTGTTAAGGAAGTATCTATGGGCTAGGAAGTATCTATGGGCTAGGAAGTATCTATGGGCTGTTAAAGAAGTATCTATGGGCTGTTAAGGAAGTATCTATGGTCTGTTAAGGAAGTATCTATGGGCTGTTAAAGAAGTATTTATGGGCTATTAAGGAAGTATCTATGGGCTGTTAAGGAAGTATCTATGGGCTGTTAAGGAAGTATTTATGGGCTATTAAGGAAGTATCTATGGGCTGTTAATGAAGTATCTATGGGCTGTTAAGGAAGTATCTATGGGCTAGGAAGTATCTATGGGCTAGGAAGTATCTATGGGCTGTTAAGGAAGTATCTATGGGCTGTTAAGGAAGTATCTATGGGCTGTTAAGGAAGTATCTATGGGCTGTTAAGGAAGTATCTATGGGCTATTAAGGAAGTATCTATGGGCTGTTAAGGAAGTATCTATGGGCTGTTAAGGAAGTATCTATGGGCTATTAAGGAAGTATCTATGGGCTGTTAATGAAGTATCTATGGGCTGTTAAGGAAGTATCTATGGGCTAGGAAGTATCTATGGGCTAGGAAGTATCTATGGGCTGTTAAGGACGTATCTATGGGCTGTTAAGGAAGTATCTATGGGCTAGTTAAGGAAGTATCTATGGGCTGTTAAGGAAGTATCTATGGGCTGTTAAGGAAGTATCTATGGGCTGTTAAGGAAGTATCTATGGGCTGTTAAAGAAGTATCTATGGGCTGTTAAGGAAGTATCTATGGGCTGTTAAGGAAGTATCTATGGGCTGTTAAGGAAGTATTATGGGCTGTTAAGGAAGTATCTATGGGCTGTTAAGGAAGTATTTATGGGCTGTTAAGGAAGTATCTATGGGCTGTTAAGGAAGTATCTATGGGCTGTTAAGGAAGTATCTATGGGCTGTTAAGGAAGTATCTATGGGCTGTTAAGGAAGTATCTATGGGCTGTTAAGGAAGTATCTATGGGCTGTTAAGGAAGTATCTATGGGCTGTTAGAAGTATCTATGGAAAGTATCTATGGGCTGTTAAGGAAGTATCTATGGGCTGTTAAGGAAGTATCTATGGGCTGTTAAGGAAGTATCTATGGGCTGTTAAGGAAGTATCTATGGGCTGTTAAGGAAGTATCTATGGGCTGTTAAGGAAGTATCTATGGGCTGTTAAGGAAGTATCTATGGGCTGTTAAGGAAGTATCTATGGGCTGTTAAGGAAGTATCTATGGGCTGTTAAGGAAGTATCTATGGGCTGTTAAGGAAGTATCTATGGGCTGTTAAGGAAGTATCTATGGGCTGTTAAGGAAGTATCTATGGGCTGTTAAGGAAGTATCTATGGGCTGTTAAGGAAGTATCTATGGGCTGTTAAGGAAGTATCTATGGGCTGTTAAGGAAGTATCTATGGGCTGTTAAGGAAGTATCTATGGGCTGTTAAGAAGTATCTATGGGCTGTTAAGGAAGTATCTATGGGCTGTTAAGGAAGTATCTATGGGCTGTTAAGGAAGTATCTATGGGCTGTTAAGGAAGTATCTATGGGCTGTTAAGGAAGTATCTATGGGCTGTTAAGGAAGTATCTAT